ACCGATGCGCTGCCTGCATTGTTTGCGACGCGTGATGCAACATATCGACAGTACGGAGAACATCTCGGTCGTGTCGTAGTGCATTACTTCTGTTTTGTTAGCTTTTTATTTATAATTAATAAGTGTTAGTTAATCACTAATTAGACTTTTTGTTTTCCTGTTTTTGTGTTTGACTGTTTAAAAACAATATTTATTTTTAATAAGTAAGCGTTAGTGATATATTAGGTGCAATTTGGACACATAATCACTAATTTGACTTTGGTTTTCCCTGTTTTTTGTGTTCATCTGTGTAAGAACAATACGGATAAAGTTAAAACAAGAAAAACAGACGCTTGTCCAATATTTGGTGCTCCTTGCGTTTTGGAGTCCAAAGTTTGCTTGCCAACTAAAGAAGATATGTTTCGTTGTTATCTATTTTCAAGAAAAGAGATGCAGGGAAATTCGAGCAAGCAGCCGCCTGAATGGGAAATTGCAAAACTGGTTGCCCAAAAAATTGAAAGTATATGGAAACATGCATCACTCCCAACTGTTAGTACCAAACGCATAATTGCAATGATATTGGCATATCATAAACATTATCGCAATATAAGAAAACCACTGAAATCACGAAAATCGCCAATTATTCTACAAAAAGTGGAAGATTTTAAGATGGAATCTAAGAAGCTATTTGACATATGTTCGTGTAAATGCAGTAGTTTTGAATGTTGTCAAGTGTGAAAGAAATTACAAAGTGCCCTTGTTGGAACAAACATTTTTGACAGACCAAAGGAATGACAGAAAAATTCAAGTAGCAGGGGTAGATAAGGTAATTACTGAAAAGAACCTAAAAAAGGAAGACAGAATTCAACGTTCATTGCCTTCGACAAGCAGCCAAACGTCTGATATGGTGGCTACTAAAAAATACAAAGAACGGAAAAAAAGGCTCCATAAACTTTATATGCCTTCACAAAGTAGCCAGAAATCTGATTCCAGCTCAGGCTCACCTGTTGAAACTAGTCCTAAAAGTCCGTCCAGCGGCGAAGACTTTGCTAAAGATCAAGACTTTAAGTGGTCATATATTCTCTAGAAAAACCACAACAGCAAATTACGTCCACAAAAACATCCACTCAACTCAGAATTGCATTGCCAAATTTAGCCCAAATTGCCGATATGACTGGTGCATCAAACCGCACAGTAGCTAAAATTGCAACAGCCACCCTTGAAGATTTTGGACTAGTTTCATCCGATGATCCAGCTAATGTAGTGGATAAAAATAAGGTACGTCGAGCATTAAAAAGAAAGAGAAAACAGGTACAAGAAAAAGCTTCCAAGGAAAGGAAAGATGTTGAGGCGATATACTTTGACGGAAGAAAAGACCAGACAATGAAGCAAATCGAAGGCCGCCGTATTGTTAAACAAGAGGAACATGTTGCATTAATAGAAGAGCCTGGAAGCAAATATTTTAGAAATAAATCCGCCAGTTAACGCTGCAAACATAGCCAAAAACATTTTATCCTTTATGAAAGAAAACTTCGTCAACGCAGAAAAACTTAAGGCAATAGGATGTGATGGTACGAACGTCAACACGGGTTGGAAAGCTGGTGCAATCAGAACAATTGAAGTTCAAATTGGAAAGCCCCTTCAATGGATAATCTTTGTTGCATGATAACGAACTACCCTTACGCCACGTGCTTCAACAATTAGATGGTCAAACAAAAGGTCCAAACTCTTTTTCGGGACCAGTTGGTTCCTTACTGACAAAATGCGAAACCAAGCCTATTCAAAAGTTTCAGTCAATTGATATCAATTTACCTAAAGTTGACGACAAGGACTTGAGTACAGACCAGCGATATCTCTACCAAATTTATTGTGCTATTAAGGAAGGTTTCTGTTCCGAAGCTTTGTCTAAGAGATCCGGGAAAAATGAATCACGCGCGTTGGCTGACCACAGCTAACCGAATATTGCGCTTGTATGTGGCTACTTGCAATCCTTCCCAAAACGTTCTTTTATTAGTACAGTTTATTATGGAAGTGTACGCACCTATGTGGTTCAATATAAAGACGAAACCTTCAATTGAATATGGCTCCGTTCATTTGTGGAACACCATTAACAAGTCAAAAAACCTGCCAGAAAAAGTAAAAAAAAAATGTAAATAAAGTGATTAAAACTAACGCATATTTCGCCCACCCGGAAAATATCTTAGTAGCTATGATTGCCGATGAAAGAAGTCACATTAGGGAACTTGGAATTCGACGCATATTAAAGGCTAGAAATCAACCACCAGAGAAATTGCGAATATTTAAAATTCCGGATATAAATTGGAATGCCGAGGATTACACCGAGTTAATTAATTAATTAATTGGAGCGAATGCTCCATCACAGAGCCCCCATTGACAATGGCCATTAAAAATGAAGATTTGTTAGCAGCTATAAAGAACTTATCCGCAATTAATATAAGCAAATTACCATGTCACACTCAAGCCGTTGAGCGGTGCATAAAACTGGTGACAGAAGCATCTAACAAAGTGTGCGGACACTCAGCTAGAGACGGTTTTGTAAGAGTTAGAGTAGAGGCAAAGTTTACCTGCGTTTGAAAATAAGAGACAATACTATGAAGCTGGGGAGGAAAATGTACCAGATAATAATTAAGTTTAAAGGTGGAAGGGCGGGTGCAACTCGACATACAGCCACCTCCTCGTGGTGAGTTGTGGGTTGATAAAATGATGGCTAGAATTACACATTTGTTGCAGTACTTAATTAGGTCAAGATATAAATCAGTCATCATTTTTTCAAGCTGAGAGCTGTATTGTAGGTGGGGCTAAATATTTAAATGTCCAGGGGCGCGGTTAAATATTAATATATTTAAACAAAAATTTTTGTGTATTGTAAGAAAGCTATAAGCTATCAGTTTTTCACTATGCCAGGTCTAAAAAAAAATTTTCACCCCCCGGGGCGCGGCTAAATTTTTTTTTTTTAATTAAAAAAAATTAGCTTTAATGGTTAGTCATTTAGCAGTAAATTTTCACTATGCCAAACAAGATTTCAAAAATTTTTTTTGGCCTTTTTCGGCCCGGCCTAATACACAAGTGAAAAAAATTGAAGAGGAATTTGGAGACCTGGACGAAGATAGAGCGGGAGAAAGGAAACAAGAAAGTGATTCACAAAGCACCGAAGAACAAACTGTAAATATAGAGCCTTCGGCAGAAGATAATGAAGCGAAAAAAAAAAAGAAAATTAATAAAAGCCCAAAGAGAAGTGAAAATAAAAAAAAAATGCAAAGATATTGATGCGAGCTTCACCGAATTTGGGTTCTTTATTACTCCTGAACTCAAAGTTTCTGTTAAAAAACGCCGTCCAGCAATCAACTCTAAAGCTCAGTAAGTTACTAGAGATGTGTTTTCCGCCGCAATGAAAAATGACAATGAAGACAAGAAAAAAAAGTAACAATGAAAAAGAATCTTGCAGACAAAAGAGGAAAACATAAGCAAAGGCAAGAAAAAAGTAAGCAAACAATGGGAATCCTGGTTTTGCTTTATTTGTGATGAAGAAAGAATTGCAGACATGAGACTATGTAATATGTGTGACACCTATGTCCATGAAGAGTGCATAGGACTAAGCAAAGAAGATAAAGATGTTTTTTTCTGTCCAAAGTGTTCCTAAACAGGAATTTTGAATTTCTTGTTTGGAACTGATTTTCATGATGATTTTTTATTGTTTCTATTAATAATTATTTATTACTTCAAAATATTTGTTTAATTTCCCCAACTTTGTTGATCAAATTTATACTGGCCTTATTATGAACCCAGTTGCCAAATAAGGCCAATATGCAAGATTCTATTTTTTGTAATTTTTTATACCCAAAAATGTTTTCTTAATATTTTTATTATCAATAGTTAATACGTTATACATTACAGTTAATATGAAGGAAGTTTTCACGCAATTATTTTATAAAATAAAGTTCTTATAACAAAAAGAACACTAAGGTGGCCTTAGTTGGCGTCCGTACCTTAATTAAAAATATTGTTTATTTTATAATTTTTCCTATCGTCTCTACACATGCTATGAGTGTTATTTATTATGTCCCCTCCAAATTCTATCGATGATAAAGGACAACTGTAATTAGAATTTTTGACTTTTAAAAGTGTAGAAAATGTGCTAGATGAAATTTGTAGCAATATTCAACCTAAAGGCCCTAGATTTTTTGGACTCGATATTTGTATACTGTCCCACCAGAGCAAGTAAAGATGTTCCTCTTCTTTGCCAAATTTTGTTGCTCTTTTTGGTTTTCTACAATAAATTAAATAATGCTAATAGCATATTTTAATTCAACCTTAGAACCTTAGGTACTTTTTCATAACACTTCTTCCATTTTCTCACTTGTTTAAAATATGTTACAAATATTATAAAATTTGTATGTGTTAAAAAAACTTTTATTTGATTTAATATTGATCATAATCCCTAAAGATTGCCAAAATTCAATACCAACCGTCTAAAAAAAAAAAATTGCTAAAATTGACATTAGTTAAATGTCAGTTTAATTTGCTTGAAAAACAATATTTTTTAATTACAATTTAACTTTAAGTAATAATAAAGATTTTAATGTACGATTGAAAAATCGGTTGTTAGCTATGATATCAATAAATATAACATTAGTTCTGGAGATAAATAATATCGACGAAAAAGTCATGGAAAATTTTATTTTACCAGATTTCAATTTCAGGATGCGAGTCATGCCATGAACTTTCGTAAAAACAAAAATTAAAAACTATAAATATGTCGATTTTTCATGTTTTTTTTTTTAGAATAATTATGTTTGTAAGATGTTTGACTGTAAAAATTTTTCATAATCTGCACTATCAAGCCAATTGCTCCCCCCTCGAAGCTCACGAACCACCACTGCAGCCAGCTAATTTTTTCTTTGCAGATTTTCATTTTGGTAAAAAAACTTGTGCTTACTCCATGCCCCAACAGTTATGATTCACCCTCTATTATAAAGAAGTGATAGGTTTAAAGAAAAAATTCTTAATTAATGTATTTAATTACATTTTGACATGTCTAAAAAACGCACTGAACATTATAAAACGAGATGTTACCTAAAAAACACCAAATCACAACGAATTTGCATTAGCACATACCTGAAAATTATTGAGACAATTTAATATATGTATTCAAAATTCATATGTATATATAAGTAAATCAAGCAGTTCGCTATGTCTATTTAATATTAATAAACCTAATAATATATATTGGAATATTATCTAAGTGGATATCAGAGAAAATTTTTTCAATTGTATTCCCCTTCTTCGTACTCGTCTTCGAATCTTCTGGAACCGTTGGTATCATGCGGTTCATATTTATGTTCGTCATCTTCTTCAAACTTGATCTTCGTATCATCGAATGTAGCGGTATTGTAACTTGAATAATCATAATCTATTTAAAAGAAAAAATGAATATGAAATTAAAAATACACTTGGTTGCTTTGAAATGTTTATAATATAAATAAGGACAATTCTCCAAAAGGTATAATTAGTGACGCCACCTACTTTTAAAATATGAAAATGCAGGAAAATATTTTTTTTTCGATTTGATGTTCACAAAGGTAAAACTTTCATATATACTTTATCTAATATGAATTGAATATTTTAACAAAAACTTGATCCTATGATCTATTTTTAGTCTCCTGATATGAATAGGCATACTGCATTCTTTTTCGTTATAAAATACCTTATGTTCTAAATATCGCATGTCTTTTCATATTGATTTTTGCAAGAAATTAATGGAAAATCGAATAAAATTAATAACAAGGACCAAATTAATTTAAAGCAAAATTAATTTAACTGTTCTAATATCCATAGATATATAACCAAGACATATAAGACTGTTTATAAAATTTCTAAAGCCAAGACGAGTTCACATTCTAAGCGTCTTTTGTCAGAAATGCAATATTCTGACAACATTGCTGCCAAGTTTACGGTGTTCTTAACAGTAGTAGTGATACATTATTTCGTTATCAAAAGAATGTGATGTCTAGCAACAGAGCAATGAGCAACAATCGATATTTGTAACAGTCGTTTCATTCAATATTTAATTTCGAGTTTTGTTTATCAGAGGTTAGATATGATGGATTCCATAGGCGTAGAAAAACAAATTTAAATACTAAAAACTTATTTATAATAAATTATTTCAGTAGTCAATAAGTAGAGCAGATTAAATGTTATTTGGACATTTTTCGTCCTCCATATTATTATATTTCGACAAGAAATGCAGTTAGACCCAATCTAACTAATAAAACTTCCCATTTTTTTAATTTTCGTAAATTGTTAGTTTTTATAACACAGTGTCATATACTTCCAACATATTTAGACGTTTCGGACATATCGTATATAAATCTTAATACTAATAAAAGTTTTTCAGATGAGAATATACCTAATAGTAGTATACCATTAGGAACACTTCAAAATACACACTGAAAAAGATCTCTTAAAAATAATTCATCTATTTAATCAAAATACCTTCTTGTCTATCAGCAATATTTCACCTTAATTTTTACTCTCCCAGAACTTCTAAAGTGCCATTGCTAATTAATATTATTTATTGTCCAAAAATTAAAAATAATATAAAATAGAACGCTAATAAAAATACCCAAGCGTTATAAAATTACTGACTTGTTTCATGGCAAAAATTCATCACTTGGTTTGTTCTACTGTATACTAAATACGAGGATTGATATTTATTTTATATTTCCTTCCTTTTTATATTTAATACTGCCGCAGAACGAACCCCATTAATTCAATTAGTCAATTCATATTAGAATAAGTACAAAACGATTGTATAATTTAAGGGCAATATGAGAAATTATCAAAAACGAATATCCGTTTCGAAGGACCATGCACTGCGCTGTGAAAAATTATTACTACAACCTTTGTGGTTCCAAAACCGTTTCCATATTTTATTTGTTTAATTGGCAAAATCGGACACTTTTTGGAGAATGACTGTATGAAGCATATACTACCAAAAGGTCAATACTTAAAGAAATTCGGCCCTTGTGCTTCAGTTTTTTAAATTATCTAGCATTAAAATTTCGTCTAAGTTGTTAAGTTTGAACAACCCAGAGTAACACTGAAATTACAATGCGGCACATTCAAAAATGAATTTTCATATTTACAAAATATCGAATTAATTTTAAACAACTCCTTAATCAGAAAAACCCTAAATATAGAATCCTTGACAATACCCGTATCCCACGGAACTAAACTGATGTCATCAGGTGGCTAAAAGTAACATTAATAACTTCAGTAGTAACCCTAAAACAACGTCACTGGCCTATTTGACATAACTGATACTTAAGTTGTTATAGGCACTAAGAACGGATACTTTCATTAAATTTCTTGTTTTATTAGACCATGTGGGATACGGGCATTGTTAAAGACCCATTAGCATTTAAAACTTAATAACGTGTATAATATACAATAAAATATATAATTACCATCAACTGGTTCTTCTTTGACTCTGATCATTTCACTTCCGTCATCAGTTTTGATGAAGTCTACCCTCTCGATCTTCTCTTTTTCTCTTCTTTCTCTACGCTCCCTTTTCCGGGCTTCTCTGTCTTTGTCTCTGGATTTGGAACGTCTTCGTTTTCTGTCCTTGTCTCTATCCCTGAAAAAGTGGAATTTGGAAATATTTTGTCAAAATATTTTATAACGATTTTTAAAAACCAACAAATTGTCAATTATTTAGGTTTAAATATATCTTAAATATGGAGAATGGTAATATTGACTGATTTAACAAAAGACGATTAAATTTTGTACAATATTTTTAGTAAAACTCTCGATTCCAAGTTTTCAGTGAGGCCATTATTTGCAAACCTTGCTATTTGCTTGAAAGCAAATTTTCTCACAATATATATAATTTTTTCGATGTTGCTTATAGATTTTAGGACTGGAAATTTATAGTTTGTTGCCTACAATGATTATTGCAAATGCAGTGAAATGAAAAAAGCAGTTATTTTCATCATTTTCGACAATTTTCCAAACCATGGACCATTTATTTTGGTAAATGAGCAATATTTCTGGAAGTTCTCTTATCCCCCCTCATTTTGTTTCCCAATGGTAATTTCTCAAGTGCCAATTAGGAAAGAGATCATGAGGCAGAACAAGCAGCAATATTGCAAGTAAAACGTCAAAACAAAGCGCCAGTTCTGCATAGTAATAAAAAATCGATACTGGTATCAGAATAAAAGTATCGATACCGGTAATGGAACAGATATCCGAAGCATTTATTTGTCAGAATCCTTTAAAAATATGCCAAATATTGTATAAATGCAGTTTTGTCATGGGACAATGTGGGCCCATTTTATTTATAACAAAATTGTTTTAACAATTCCTAGAAAATGTTACTTTTAAATGGGACAAAATTGTTTACATTTTCTTTACTTTAATACAAATATAAAAGTCATATATTTTTTGATAAATATTTTAGAATATATAGAGTATAAAAAAATCACGATTTTTTACGAATTTTAACGATTTATAAATCTATGCAAATAACTGATCTGCTACTAATTCATTCAATCCCTCTTTAATATTTAAAAAACTTGGCAAACAAACGTTTTCTAGGATCTTGTCGATCAACAAGTTTTAGAATAATGGTTAAAATGTTTTTAAAATAATAATAGTGACATATTTAGTTTTTTTTCGTAAGTGCCAATATGTAATTTTCTAGAATTATTTTATAATTTATAACAATAATAATCTAGTAAAGTGTGATGATGATGATTATTATTAACTTGAGGATAGAAAGTGAAAGTAGTTTTTAGTGATTCAGTCTTACCTTTCTCTGTCTCTGTCCCTCCTGCCATCATAGTCGTCTTCGATCGTAATCTCATCGCGAATCTTCTCTTTGCTTCTTCGCCTCTTGTCCCTCCTCGGCGATCTCGACCGACTACGCCTCCTTCTATCCCTAGACCGCGACCTACGTCGTTCGAACTCCCTCTCGCCCCTCAGCCCACCCCTGTCTCTATCGCCGCCGCCACCGCCTCGTTCTCTAACCGCGCCCCTTTCTTCCCGTTCGCGCTCTAATCTATATCGCTCTCTCTCGCGCTCGTTGTCTTCGCGACCCGAATGTTTGATGTTGACGTCCGGACCACCTCTTCTGGTACCGCCCAGGCCGCCACCTTGATTAAAGACGATCATTAAAATGTGCAGGAAATACATACATAAGTAATTATTATCAAGAGTTTTGTTGTTAATAAAAATTGCTGTTTTTAAAAAAATCTTTGGTTTTAAAAGTTCCGGAAACTTAAAAATCCGAAAAATAGGACGATGCAATTTCCTGGAAGTCCCCAAAATTACCCATACGAAATTATGAAAAATATTTTTGAACCCCCCCCCCCCAAGGTGAAAACAAATTTAATGAAAAATTGACTAAATTCTGTCCTCGGGGAGATTTGAATCCGGATAGGTGGATTCATTTTAAAATTGAATTGTGTTGCATTAATAAAAAAAATTAGGTAAATCTTATTATAATGCACGTAGGAAGGAAAAAAGGTTTATATTCTTATTATCTAACTCGATATTTCATACCTATGATTAAATTATTGTTTGTTCTGAAAATTATATCAGTTACTGACCCGAAAACAAATAGTACGAGCCCTAACAACTATAAATGTTCGGACGACGTAAGAAAATTAAAAATTTTTTTTTTTCGATTTTCCTTAGTGAAAAATCAAGTCACATACTCTTTACTTAACATAAAATCTGATCGTAAGGAAATACTTTTTTATTTTGTATAAACTACATAACAAAATTACGGAATTTGATCAAATTTGCAGACAAATAAATATTCGGACGCTAATCTTTATTGTCTTTGAAATCAGTAATATGCATGCATTTACTGAAAAATCTAGTGTGCTTTGGTCAATAGCTGTCAGTTAAGGGTTTATCCGTCAAATTTTGATATAATAATAATAGCCTTTATTGCCCAACAGATATAAATCCCTTTATAGAGCAACCTAATAAATTATTAACAATATAAGTAGTAAAGGTGACATGATAAATAATAGTATATTATTTAACGAACGGTAATGAATTACAGCACTCGCCTGCGGCTCGTGCTGCAAACTTCATCTGCGTGAGTTATGACCATTACCGCAAGTTGAATACTATACTTTATCTACGACTATAACAATAAATACTAAGATACAAGTATCGAGAAAGAATTATATAATTGACCAGATGATAAAAACGTTTGAATCTTTGTAAAAGCTATTACCTTTGTCGCCAGATATTTTTCATGAGGAGCTTTATTTATGAAATTATTAAGTTGTTCTGGCATAAATGTTTTTGCCTTTTTAGCTATATGTTTCTCTGATTGACGTTTAAGAAACGCACGTAATTTTGAATAATTCTCTAAATTAATTCCATTATTTATGTTGAGTGTGTTTCTTACAAGGAGCAGAAAGTCCATAGAGATGATGCTTTATATTTATTGCTAAGTTCATTAAATTATGCCAAAAGTACATTTTCTGTAAACGAGTTACACCAATCTTGACAATTTTAGTATACACCTTTATACTTGTTTTTTGATTTTTCTGGTAATAAATTCTGTATTGCATTATTATCTCTCTTATTTCTGGAGGTATACATAATAACTTATCTTCACTATCTAAATTCATCTTTTTTAGCACTTATATTAGAAATTGATTTGAAAACGTCAAAATTTCTTGTTAAAATTTCAAATGACATTACTCCACTCAATGTAATAATTGAGTGTTCCGCCTACTGAGAGGCGTTGACAATTTAATAATTTTAAAATATTTCTAACATTTTACGCCAATAGAACATTTATCGACATTAAAATTTCCAAGAATATACTGCGCACACTATTTATATACCGAATTATCGTAGGAGCCCAGCGTGAGTTATAATAACTCACTATTATAACTCACGCTATTTGTTTATTGATACTATTAATTGCTCAAAAGCACTTGAATAATTAATATATAAATTAATAGGAGTAGATAAAGAATTATAAAATAAAAAGTATCACATAAAAAACTGAAAATAAAAAATCAATAGAACAAAATAAAAAACTCAAGCATTGTCATAATAGTTACAAGCAATTGCTTTAATACTTATCAAACTATCTTTGAAGATATCTGAAGAATTACAGTACAGGTTAAAGTTATTACACATGACATTGAGAGGTGAGCTAAAACCTTGAACCCACGACAGTTTCGTATAATAAAACCACACATTTTTTTGCGTCAAAAAACTTCATAGTAATCTGCTCAACAAAACTCAGCCTTGAGTCGAAAGTGACACCCAGATCAGTGATTGAGGAACAACGTGACAATACCAAACCATTAATATTATAATAAAAATCTATAGTTGATCTTTTTCTAGTGTATGCCATCACTTTACACTTCGATGCATTTAACATTAACCTATTTTGCATGCACCAATCTGACAATATATCTAGCTCCTGCTGAAGCGCTAAACAGTCATACATATCTAATACTGAGAGGTATATCTTAAAGTCATCTGCATAAACGAGTCTACAAGAGTTTAAACGGTGATCGAGATCATTAATAAATATAATTTTTTAAGAAAATGGCACGTGGAGTTGCGACAAACAAAAAACTACGAGAAATTATAATTTCTCAGTACCACAGAGGTAAATCAATGCAAAAAATTTCGAATGATTTAAATATTGCAAAATCAACGATTGGAGATATTATTAAAAAATGTGGAGATAGCTAGTGTTGACGTTCGTGGTAAAAGTCCAGGCCGACCACGTACTATCACAGAAAGAGAACGCCGTGTTCTGGTACAGATTTGCAAAATCAACAGAAGGGCTACTCTACGACAAATACAAGCCCAATGGAATCATGAGGCAAAATTAAATGTCTCTAGGGAATGTTGTAGACAATGGTTGCATAAGCCTGGTTACAGTTTTTATAAAGTAAGTTTGTAATTTTTCGTTTTAATACACAAAAATTAATAATGTTCTGTTAAACACATTCTTTATAGGCAAAGGAAAAGCCATTACTGACAGCTATTCAAATGAAAAAACGTTTGGATTGGGCAAAATCCAAAATATCCTGGACAACAGAAATGTGGAGTAATGTCATCTTCAGCGATGAATCGAAATTTGAGGTATGCGTTGGGGATTTTCGAAAAAGGGTAATTCGTACAAAATTCAAAGCTATTCATAAAGACTTCTTAAAGCGTACTGTAAAATTTCCCAAGGGGGTTATGATTTGGGGATGTATGAGTAGTAAAGGGGTTGGCAAATATGAGTTCATTGATGGTACTGTAAATGCAGAAAAGTATCAACAAATTTTATCAAGAAGCTTAATTCCAACAACAGAACAATGTTTTGGAAATAATAGTTTTATCTTTCAACAAGACGATGAAAAAGTGGTTTGGTGACCATAAAAGTTTTATCGTGGCCTTTGAGTAGTCCCGATTTGAATCATTGAAACATTATGGCATCAGATGAAGAAGTCTTAACGATCCTCAGCGTACTGTGCCCGCATTAAATAAAAAAAATTCACAAATTTGGAACTCTTTCACCCCCGAATATTGTAAGACTTTATAGTAGATTCCATGCCACGACGCATTCAAGCCGTTATTACCGCAAAAGGTGATGTTACCTCGTATTAAAGTTCGATTTAAGCTATAAAATTAAAGTTTGGCCGAATATTTATTTGTCAGCAAATTTGATTAAATTTCGTTACTTTGTTATGTTGTTTATACCAAATAAAAAAGTATTTCCTTACGATCAGATTTTATGTTAAGTAAAGAGTATGCTACTTGATTTTTCACTCAGGAAAATCGAAAAAATTGTTTAAAATAAATATCAATATATTTTTTTAATTTTCTTACATCGTCCGAACATATAGTTGTTAGGGCTCGTACATACTATTCTTTGGAAATCCCCAAACAAATTGAAAAAGTAAAAACTTGTCCCACAAAGATTTGAACCCACATATTCGTGTTCTACACACACTACCTTACCAATTCAGCTATCAAGTTGCTGTTTTTTTTTTTATTTAAAAATACTACTCATTTGGCAAATAAACAAAAAAATTTAACACATGTATCTTATATCAAAAACCCGAAATTGGTACATTATAATTACATCCTCCCACTTACCTAACCTCCTGGGCAACCATCCTTTGACTGTCCTGGCCCTTTCCACGTCAACTAAAACCCGTCTTCCGTCAATTTTCTTACCATCCGCATGTTTGTATGCAGCTGTAATATTAATTTTCACATCACAGACCTATGGTTTCAAAACGTTAACAACTTTCCATGTTGTTGATAAGAAAATTTTTTTTAAAAAATCATGTTTGAATCCACGCTATTCTCCAGATTTGACACCTTGAGAACTATTTATAATTAACGTTCCTGAACTTAAAAATTTGTGTCTGGACATGTATAAAAAGAAGTTTTATCGGAAAAGTCTATCAAGAATGGAAAAAAATTAAAACGGTATGAGGAAATAAAGAAAATGGAATCCATCGCAATAAAGCGATTTTTAATTTCTATAGACCATAAAAAGTGAAGCTTATTAAAAATAATCAGAGATAAATGGATCATATTTTTGAAATTAGAGGACATGCATTAAGACATTTTTTTGTTCAGCAATATTTGTATTTATAATAAAAACAACATGGAAAGTTTAAAGATTTGTATATAAATTTCGACCTATCCAACAAAATGACTTTTTAAAACAATTCACTGTACTTTCCGAAAATATTTTGGAAAATTAATGAGAAGAACAAAGAGGAAACTTATTGAGATAAAGTGAAAAGTACAGCAAAATCGTAATAGTTATGCTGACTTTGCGGCCGAAAGAAATTGGTCATTTTCCGAAATAAGAAAAGAATATTAGCAGAAAATGAGTTTTTTTTTTTTCAAAAATTTTAACATTTGTGTAATAAGTTTATACACAGAGGACCTCTGTATATGACAAGTTTCATTGTTTTTTGTATTAAATGAAATAAGAGTAGACTATTATGGTACTATTTGAAATCTCATAACTACAAATGATATTGATGATGTGAAATAATACTTCAAAGCAATTTAAATAACCTAGACCGATGGTGTAATAAAATCATTTTAAGTTAAAATGACATCAATTATTTGATAATGAAAAATTTCAAAAGTTTCAAAAAGTAAAAGTTGATCAGTAGTCCATTTTGTCAATTTAGTTGAAATAATTCATTGGAAATGTCGATCTTAACAATATAGTTCAATTGAGGTCTCTAGTTTCGAGATTTAATCATGTAAGAGAACTTGATAACGCTGAAAAAAATGACTCTTCTTTCAATAAAAAAGAAAAAATTAAAAGACAGCTGCTGATCTCTCAATCATAAAATGATATATATTTCATTTTGTCCAGTAGAACATAGGTACACTTGGGATATTAAATATTTTTTGTTAATTAATTTTTTCTAACCTCTATTGACATTCATTATAATGATGTTTCTATCGTTAAGGTTGTACATGTGGGTAAATTTAAAGATAATTTGTGAATTAGGCCAGTTGCTTTCTGGGATCGGCTATTGTTTACCAGGTGGTAACCATTTTTGTAAAAACAGGTTTATGTTTTATGGTAGGTTAGGTCAGGTCAGACACACATTTGAGTTTTTGTTGAAGAAACTAGTTGAAACAAATGAAGTAAAGCTCAATTTTCCACAAATACCCTTTATCTTCACTCCAGAAAATGACCATTTTAGGTATAAATGAAATATACCTACCCCATTTTACTTACGTAATGAAACATCGTAATGATAAATTTCGGAATTATAAATATCGTCACTTGACTTGAAGTTGTGGCCATCCTTTTTTTAATTTTATTTATTAGGATTTACCTGGTGCGCAATTACTTACTGAGCGCATACCCAATTAGTTTAAAAATTAAATTATTAAAAACTAAGCCGTCGGTCTAACAAAACGAGAAAACTGCAACCACAATAATATAACATTATTATTTTTAAATGATACTTTATAGAGTAAAATATCTCAATCGAAGTTTAATGTCTATTCTGCTTTTTTCCTTGCTGCGAAACGATTCCAGAGCAAAATTATTTATGATTAAAATCCATATTAAAGTTAGAACAAGCAATCAATACTTACGATTAATAATTTGTTTATATTATTTAACCACTTTAGTTTTATTAATTTGATATACATTTTTGTGCCATAATTACACTTCTTACACTGTATTAGAAGATATATTTGTCTTTATTCAGAGCAACATGATTTTTTACTGCTACCATGTTAAATTTTGCAACAATAGATGGAATTGCTAAACAGATCAGACTGTTCTACAGATCGTATTTTCTCCACCATCAAGGGTTTTTTTAAAAGACATATATTTGACAATGTCTCAAAATGCAAAACTTCGAGTTTAATGTATTTAGATCCAAGTGATCACTTCAAAAAACCAAACCATTTATCTTTAGCTATATATGTCATACTGTAAATAAAATAATAATTTATTGGTCAACATTGCAAGTTGCATATTTCATTTGTTTTCTTTAATTATTGAAAAATGGACGAAGTTCTGGAAAATTTTTATGTTTAATTGTTAAACAATGTGTTACCACGGGTTAAGTTTTAATGTTTCTCATTCCTATATAGAATAAAGATGTCAACTGCTTGTACTGTTTGATGAATAGATATTATGAGGGTTAATTATTATTCTTACCTTTCTACTTTAGTAATTTTTATATCTTAAATAAAACCCCCACAATGTTTTTATAAGACATTAAATAGTATTTCTGTTAAATGATAAAGTATTAGTTCAAATATACCATACATTAAATTTTAAGTAAAATTAAGCCTGCCATTAAGCAAATTTGTTTTAAAGTTTATAAACATAATAATATGTTTGTGGTTGCAAAGTCCTCGCTCCATTAAATTGAAACCACAGACTCAACATTGAAAAGAATCATACAAAATCTAGACCGTTCTAATCTTTTAAAATGACCTAATAACTGTATTAATTTAACTTTAAAAAAAATTAATAACTGCACCCCGCAAAAACAATTTTTTAATTTTATTATTTGTATGCAGGGTTCTTACCACACATACAAACCTATATAGCCAGCAAAAAGCGGAAGTTTGGGGCAAAACGGCACAACTTAGTTGCCTGCAGCTCGACTGTGTAAAAAAAATACAAAGAATTAATTTCGGTGTTGGAAGTTTTTTAAAGGATATTCATGAGAAATGTTGCTGGCTACATAAAAAATAAGCGGACGATTTCAATATACCACTTTTGAGCAAACGAAAACGGGAATATATGAACCAATGTGTATGGCTATATATTCAAATACATAAATGATTCTATAAATAGTACTATTTGATTGACATTAACAATTTTTACAGGTTTATTGATAAATACATATGTAAATCTGAAAAGTACTTTTATAGAAACACTCTAGAAAAAAAAAAATTAAAAACGTTTTTTAATGTTTTTTCAAACTTACCACAATATCAAATTATTCCTTTTTATTACCAAACAATTAATTAAAACATATTACCTGTCTATTATTTTTTAAGGCCAACCATAACCTACCTTCCTACCAGAAATTACATGACCTTGTTTAAACAATATTGTAAAGCAAAAATTACCTTTACTAGGAAGATATTTATACTTACACTATAAATACGCAAATTTCAAATATAAATTATGTAACCTAAAAACATTGCATACATAAAAAAACAAAATCGTAAACGAATCATGTTGCCATACACATTGATATTGTACTAAATATTGTATTAAATTGGGTCTTTAAAGGTGGTAATATTGAATTCAAATTAGTTTTTTTTTTTCAAATTTATACTTACAGTGCATGTCCCTTTCATGTTCATATTCTATAAAAGCATACCCCCTTGGTTTGCCATTTACACTATTGTGAATTAGTACAATCTGAAATAAAAATAGAAATTATGTAAAAAATAATGGATATTTCGAATCCCACCGTTGGCCGGGATTTTTTCATTTAATTTAATTATTTAAAATTAATTCTGATGCCTTGGTAGGATTCCCCACTTGACCATTCACTGTTGGGTTCTAATTAACAGTGCTGTCCCTAAAGTGGCGCTGGGAAACAGTAACAAAGCCTACACAGAACACGAGGCTAATAACCGTAGTAGTTGATGCCAATGACACCAAATAAAAAAAATATATTTATCAGGTAGGTAGGTATCAGTTAATAAGTATCTAAAAAATGTGGGGTTGCTGAATGATCTTTATTGGAGCCTGTTTAAATATAAGTGGACAATTTGCAATTAATATTAAGTTAGTATATACCTTGTAGAATTCTAAACATAGTGCTTGTGTTAAATTGTAAATACATATACAGTTAATATTAACAAAACCCTTAAATATCATTTATTTGTTACCTTTTTAAGAGTTTTGTGTTTTAATAAGAAAATAAATTTTAAGAACATCAGAAATTAAAATTCTAGGATCCACATTAAAAAAAAAGATGCTTAAAATATTGACATCTTTGTTGCTATTCACAATCATATCTTTTAATTATGCGAAAATCTTCCGATAACGCCAAAAACTTATTGTAAAATTCTATAAAAATTCTAAAAACATTGTAAAACTCTTAATTTAATCAAACACATATTAGTTATTTAGTTTTATCTTTATTTTAAAAATGTATGTATTAATTTTTAATAACAAAATGTTCTGTACTTCAGGGGCGGTTTCTCCATTGGTTCATTTGTGCATTGAACACCCAGTTAAATTTCATAAAAACACATTATTTTAATATTACATAAATAACATAAAAATATTTTATAAAAATTTAATATTTTTATTTTCATACGTGTTAATCTATATTTTTTTGTACATCATTGTCCTCTGGCTGATTGCGTCTCTGTGTCACAGTATACCCAAGTATACTGTGTCTGTGGCGCATTATGATGAGTGAGCCTAACACGAGTGAGACGATATGCCGAATGCATATAGCTAAAAAGAGAAGACAACCGCCAACAGATTCTTCAAACTGTCAAAGAACACATTAATTGGCGCGCCGCTCTCAAACAAGATTACCAGTCTAGTACAATTCACAAATGGCTACGTTCATTTGATCTGTCTACAGGCACAGCATAATTTTTTAAATAACTATAGGCATAGAGTAAGGGTTATATTTTAATATTTTATCATTCCATTTCTTTTATTTTGCATAATAATTATTTTTCTTTAATTATATTTGACCATAAATATGAGACACAAGAAACTGGCTGAACACTAGTTCTTTTTGGTCTTAATAGGTTGGCAACATTTTTCGTCAGAAATTTGTCAGTTCTATGATCGAACTGTCACTTTTAAGCTATTGCATAGCTTTTATCGCGGCGACCGAATCAAGAAATTCCGTAATGAACGTAACGAAAAAAAACCTAACACCCCCCACTCCGACCGGCACAGCGGTGCGCGTTGAAAGCCGTGCATCGTCTAACGTCGTTTCAGTTTGGCAGACTTCAGCATATCAACATCAAATTTTTAGTAAAAATCAAGGTCCATAAGGAGATGAGGCCTATTGATTGTGAAAACAATCTGCTTAAAAATGGGGGTTAAGGGGGTCTGCGAAGGATATTATTTAAAATGCCAGGCATTATATATCTTTATTCTAGTTTGTGTCTGTGTAATATTATGTATTGTGATGGGACTGATCTTATAAAATAAACATTTAAAACATTTTAGTTATTTTATTTGCCAATAAAAGGTATTTTAAAAATATATTTTTTATTTGACATCTGTGACAAATTGTGAAAATGATTAAACTCAAATTATAAAGAAAAGTCAGTTTACTAACTAATAATGTTTATAGATGGTTTTCAAGGCATTAAAAACCAAACAAATATCACACTAACTAAAATATTCATTTATTAATAGTTGTAGTGCTTGAAAACAGTATGATGTTGATAATAATAACTACACTTAATACAAACTCAAAAAAAAGGCGATATGGACTCATGTACAAAGTTTTGATCTGAACTTACATATGATAAAATTATTGGAAAAAGTGAACAACCATTTTAAATTACCACGAGCCGCCACTGCTGTACTTGTCTACCATGTAATTGGTAATACTGTTGGGTAGTTAAAATAAATAAATTGTAAGTGGGGTGAAATAGAAAACTTATATTGAATAAACGTCTTCATTGGATATCCACTCAAATAATCTTGCATCAATCATATACATATACACAAAAGATACTGATCTTTTGTGGGTTTTGTGATGCAAAAGATTAAAAAAACAAAGAAGTACACATACCTTTTTGATTGGACCATATACTTCAAATTCTCTACGAAGTTTAGATTCAGAGGTGTCATAATTCTGAAAATAAAATGTTTAATGGTTGCAGTGAAATATTTGTGATTCACTTACAATCCTAGCAATAAATAATGTTTTAAAAGGATCAGTTGTAGTATTTGGTGCTGTGGCTGGATCCCAAACAGCAATTTCTTGTTCTAGTTTATAAGCAACTTGTTCAGCTCTCTCTTTTCTTCTTCTTTCTAATCGTTCTTCCCTAGTTTCTACTCTTGTTGGTGGAGGAGTTTCTTTAGGATCCTACGTTATAAAAAAAAATAATTACCGTACAGTACAACTAATTATTAATATAACGGTAATTTTTCGTGGATCAATAATAATCATCGATTGTAAATTAAATATGTAAAACCTTCAAAATAATCTTTCGACTTACCTCAAAATCTTCCAAAAAAAATCCTACACCCAAATAGCCCCTATTTTTCTTTTCGTGTGGTAATTTGGTGACGGGAGGCAAATATGGTATGGGGTCGCGTGGAGCGAATAAAGCTAACAAGTTTGGAGGTAAAAATTGAGTCATTCTGATTGCGTTACTTACTTAAATTCAATGCATAATTAATATGAATAAATTAACAATAAACTAATAAAGATATTAAGGCTTTTCCTAATTATTTTCTTCGAACACACAGAAAATGACCTAATCTAACGTCAATACACAAATTCGCATTTGAACAAAATGGCCGAATTTCTTATTTTTGACAACTGACAAACTAAAGGTTTAAAATGCGCGTGCGTCAAAATCATAAGGTTAATAATGGGAAGGTTAGCTAAATGAATATGGTGTGTTCCGTAATTCTTTTGGTACTGATATAAATGTCGTCATCAGACAAATTTCGTCCAATGAAAACTGTTATAAAATAATAATACCCCAGTATAATAGGTATAGGTAGGATAATACAGACTAGTACTACTTTTCTTAAAACAACCATGCTTATTAAATTATCTCAGACACTTTATAAATCTCAAAAATAAGACTAATTTTGAAAACATTTGGCGAGCTGAATGTAGAATATTTTCGACACGTATTTGGTGATACATCAACATCACATTCATGTGTATTTTACCCCTTTAATTTGCCTTCTTCTTTACGTAATGTGGTAATCTAACCGTATTTCATAAAAAGTTTAAAATGTACACAGCTCGTAAGTCTCTATAAGTGTCCACCATAACGTGTGTCTGTTTATCCAACTGTTGCAGCAACGTTGGCATCGGTGCGGTATGTCAACTGTTATTTATTTCAACGGTCAACCAGAATCCAACACAAAACGTTCAAGGCCGCATCGGTGAAGCAACGGTTGCAACAAACCGGTGGAAAAAAAGACACACGTATTGTGAATTTACTAACGGGACACTGCTTGATGAAACATTTTCATATGTTGAGATATTGCACTATGATTTCACCACGTGTAGACTCTGCATGGAAGAGGAAGAAACTTTATATCATGTTATCTTCGAATACGCAGCTTTTCGGAAATAAAGCGACTCGTAACATTTAGCAGAGGAAACCTAGAAAAACTAATCAAAGATAAACTGGACTATTCGAATACAGTACATCGAAAAGAGGCCGTATAGTGTTTTGGGATAATTCTAACCCAACCTGTTTATTAACCACAAATATAAAGAATTCTCATTTAATTGAGCTTCAAATATCTAGAATTGACAGTTACACATTCTATCTAGGTTTTTTTTTAAGTAAAATCAATTATTGTATTACGTAAATGGTTTGCTGACTCTCAGAAACATGTAAACCTTAACCATTGTATATCCACTATACCTTTTAATTTTTAAAACAAAAGCAACAAAACAATTACGTTAATTACAAAGCCGTCTTATGCCGCGTTTGAGAATCCACATCGGATACATCTGAGATGTAGTAAATCTTTGATCACGTGATTCAGTATACGTAAATGTTATGGGACAGATGTGTCCGATGTGAATAAAAAAACGCTCGAGATGTAAAAAATGCATCGGATGTGGATTTTCAAACGCGACATTACTTAACTGGTTCTTTAATACATTTGCTGCGTTTGAGAATCCACATCGGGTGCATCTGAGATGTAGTAAATCTTTGATCACGTGATTCAGTATACGTAAATGTAATGGGACAGATGTGTCCGATGTGGATAAAAAAACGCTCGAGATGTAAAAAATGCATCCGATGTGGATTCTCAAACGCGGCAATAGATACGGTATGTTCAACATGTACAATGAGTTGAACAAAGATGAATAGAAACATGCAAATAACAGATCGATAGAGAGACCGTTCTCAAAGAGCATCGATATACATATTTTTATGCACGACAAGCGACAGCCGTCTCTGCCTGTTATGTGCATTTTCCTCTTGTAGATACTCACCGTGTTGAAAATTCCGTACCTGTATACTCATAGAAAAGTTATTAATTTATCTATGTGTATACTTCTATCATAGGTACAACACACCCCTGCAACCAACGATAGAACTTCTAGATTTTGAAAGTCCTTTTCCCTTGAAACTTTTGCAGACACAAACCCCGAAACAAACTGAATTTTATACACGGTGTTCCATTTGCCGAAAAACGTCGGATAATTTTCTGTGGGGGTCTTTTGACGTATATTTGAGGATTGAATGAGCAACCCCCTATGAAGGGGCGCTTCAGCTTCAACCCCTCAAAATTGAATAGGGAAGAGAGGTTGAGAGATACTTAATTTGTAAGGTCTTGGAAGCCTCTTTACAACGGTGTATGAAAAAAATCACATTCTTAAAAAAAATTAATTGTTCTATCATGCTTACAATCAAAAAAATCAAAATTACGTTTTTTAATCAAATGTTCAAATTGTCCTCCATTGACTTCCATACAATAGTAAATTCTCTCGTACTAGAAAATAAAAAAAAATCAAAACATTTTCTTATCTTGCCTTCATTTTTTGTTATTAGAAGGTGTTTATCACGTTTCTTCGATCATTTCATGTATGATAAAACAATTAATTTTTTTTAAGAATGTGATTTTTTTCATACACCGTTGTAAAGAGGCTTCCAAGACCTTACAAATGAAGAATCTCACTCAACCCCTCTTCCCTATTCAATTTTGAGGTGTTGAAGCACCCCCTCATAGGGGGTTGCTCGTTTAAGCCTCAAATATACGTCAAAAGATGTCCCCCAAACCAAATCATCCGACGTATTTCGGGAACCAAGAAATATACGGGGTGGCTCGTCTGAGATGAAACACCACATACTTTGATTTTTTTTTACTATACGGAGAATGGTCGCACTGCGCAGAGTGAGCGATCTGATTCTTTAGCTGTAAATTGTGTCACAGGGTTCAAAATGGCCGCGCCCTATGCGGGGCGTTTCGGACCCACATACTTTGATTACTATACGAGGATTTTCTTTTACTATACGGAGAATGGTCGCACTGCGCAACTTTCTGAGTGCCTTTTAAAAGGAGATAGAAAACTCCGCCATTTTGAACCCTTATTACGTGTTGCCTACATCTTGGCGCAATATTTTTAATAGGTGCGTTTTAATCATCCACTTCTGCTTCGGAATTGTCGGTTTTCTTGTTTTAATCTGACAGGTTAAAACGACTAAACCGACAATTCCGGAAGCAGAAGCGGATGATTAAAACGCACCTGATATTTTGCTTGCTGCTGTCAGTGTCAGTGAATCAAAGAAGTAGAGAGGGTAGAACGATAAGGTACCGTCTGCGCATCCATCACGAGTGTAGAAATTATGCGTGATTCAGCCTTCCACTCTTACACACCTAAATGACAAGGAGAGGTTGCCCTAAAGCACTGTAAACAAATTCCAGGATCGACTTTATTCAGCGATTATGTTCATGTTCAGCTCTGTTTTTTTTTTGTGTTTTGGCTGTTGTAAGCTTTTTTGGCGTCAATTCTTTGTTATCTTGCTTATATTTATGATTTTTTATGCTTTTATTCCGATTTAGTATTAAATTATACTTGTTAATTATTTTTCGATGCACTATTTTATAATTGTTGCACAAAATGTTGTTAAACCGTCCTGAATTTTGTTTACAAAATGTGCAAAACGAAATTGTGCATAGTGTCCAGACTTTTTCATTGACAGTTATCATTCTACCCCTCTCTACTTCATTGCAGTGAATATTATTTTTGAAGTCACAGTTAGCTCACTCGGACCAGTTGAAAGTTCCAAAATAACATCTACTCCAGGGATACAAATTCAGGATACGCAGAAGACTGCTGTTTTATTATAGGCGGTTGTCATATATTGTATTATCCGAGTTGCACACTGAAACATTGAGATCAAAAGTGCCGACGCAGAGTGAGCGATCTGATTCTTTAGCTGTAAACTGTGTCACAGGGTTCAAAATGGCCGCGCCCTATGTTGGGCGTGTCGGACCTCTCTCTTGCCTCGTATAGTAATCAAAGTATGTGGGTCGGACCTCTCTCTTGCCTCGTATAGTAATCAAAGTATGTGTGAAACACCCTGTATAATGAACAATTGCTGCGTTTGAGAATCCACATCGGATGCATTTTTTACATCTCGAGCGTTTTTTTATCCACATCGGACACGTCTGTCCCATTACATTTACGTATACTGCATCACGTGATCAAAGATTTTTTACATCATAAGGTCTGTTCTGGTTTTGAGAAATAACGATCCACAACTGTCGGGCTCATGCGCAGTAGATAAAAAGTGTTCTGGTTTTTCTGGGACTACTTCGGATCTCTCAGTCCAGTGTTCTGGTTTCGTATCCGAAATAATCCGTGATTGTTGTAAACAGTCAAAAAGTGTTCATGCTTGGGAGTGTGGATCGACTCGGACTGTTTTGACCGCGCATGCGTTTTTGAAGTGTTATAAATATTGTATTGGCTTTTTAGACCATACGAAACGTATACAATCCCAAATTGTTTATTTATATGTGGACGAATGTCTCTTGTTCTTGTTTTATTTGTAAATTAAAGCAATTTTAGAATTATTAATTTTTTAATATTCTGTTTTTATTTATTCCATTGAAATGTGATGATAATGATAAACATATACATGCAAATGTTATTTGAAGCTGAGCTTTCAAAAGGAACTTCATTATTATACTAAACAATAAACAAAACACCTTCATGACGTGTTCTGGTTTTCCAAGAATTTCAAACAGTAGGGGATTTTTTGCCTTTACGCATACGGTCCGGCGCAGTTTCAAAACAGTTTTCATTTTGAGAACCAGAACAAACCTTCAGATGCATCCGATGTGGATTCTCAAACGCAGCAATAGACATCACCTGGTATAAAATTCAGAACGCAGCTAAATTTGCTCACTTTTTGTACGGTGCTGCCATATTTGTCAAAGAAGAAGTGGTAAAATGCGCAATTTGTAGAAAATGGCGTTTTGTGACTTTTAGCACATGTCAATTTTCTCCGGTAAGAAAAATATTTTGCTTGCGAAATTATTTTGATAAGCTAATAATTTTTAGTGCAGAAATACCCTTAAAGTGCTGATACGTTTTTATATCATTAGCTTATCTCTTTCCGATGTATTCGTAAATAATTTGTTATAAATATTTATTACTGTCATTGCGCCACAAAAAGTGCCTACAGACTTTAATTTTATGAAATATTTATCTTTTACATATGGTTCACTAATCTAATACAATTTCGCAATGAATACAATTGGTAATTTCTTTAAGTAATTTTTGAGCGGTGTGCCATTGGTGTATAATTGATTTAAACATTTGCAGGACTTCAAACTTTTTGGCTGAAAAGGATTTAGATTAAAAATTCCATAGTAAATTCGGTGAGTAGAGTTGAATTGCCCTTATATTGTGCAGTTATTTTTAATCGAATTGTATTCAATGTGTCTACTACGTTTGCTACTAAATTTATCTTTTGGATGCTGGCCAAATATCAGAGGATTCTGATGTTAACAGACGAATACAAGAAGTCGATTTGAAAATAGGTTAACCATTTCATCAAATATTGTAGTTAATTGTATTGTGCATTTTGCACAGGTAATATGAATATTTTTCTCTAATTTTTTAATAAGTAAATTTTAATGTCCTTTTATGTAAAAATAGAACATTCTTGTATAACTCTAACTTTTAAATAACTAAATTTTTAATTTGTGAAACTTATGATACAATAAATATGACTGTATTTTGCCTTGCAGCCTAGTTAAGAAAATTACAATTTTTTTTCAATCAAATTATTGAATTTAACTTTCCTGGTCAGTATTCAAAGTTTAGTCACTTTTCAAGTTGCATGTTAGCTTATTTCAATTTAAAAACATTGATCCAGCTAATTTGATGGTTTTTAAGAACTATTCTGGACCAGTTAAGTGAAAAAGAAAAACATAGGTAGCTGTAGAATCCATAATTCTCAAAATATCTTATTTATTCTTTCAAAACTACATAAATTAAGCAATTGACCCTATGTGGGTCATAGTGTCATAAATATTTCATTTATAATATATTAACAAGATATTAAAAATAAATAAAATCATTACAAACAAATAATGAATTAAGAATTAGTAGAAGAAATCAAGAATAATCAGTAAAAAAAGATAGGGCTTTCTATTTTTTGGCTAATTAATAAGTAGGTACATGGGTGTTTCTCTGAGTCCTGAAATTTTATTTGATCTAGTGTTGTCTATTAAGGCATGCCTGGTAGGTATATACTATTGGTTAATATTTCCTATAATGTGGGATATTAATGAGATTGTAAACGAATTTTATAAATTTTTTATTTGTCAAGTACCATTCAAGTTTTGGTACACAATATATTAAGTAGTTATAATAGCTACTGTCAACTTTTGTTATCTATTTATCATTATGCATTTTCATAGAAGTACAATGTATGTTTGAACAGTAATTAGTAATTGTTTACAGTGTTGAATAATAAGATACTGACTTAAAAATTATAACATTTCTATTGGTAGGGTCCAATTACAATAAGAACACAGCTACGTCATCACTTGTTGTCAATCGCCATTGACTGGTGTTTTAGTAGCATGTTAATGTTATAGGAATTATATTTTTAAACCAAACAACTCATGTATCCCTTATTTATTGATAGTTGATATGTGCTCTATATTTGAAATTTGAAATAATGGTTATGACTTAGTGGTGTTCATCTTATTGTAATTGGATTCCAGTGCAATATTTGTTAAGTTTTCAATATTTTTTATGGCACTATGATGCCTGATGACAATTTAAAAACTTAAAATGCCTATTTTATGAATTAATATAATAATACTCTCCCTAATTCACCCCCTTACAAGTGAATTTTAACCCCAAAAGCTAAGCTTGTGTCGGGAAAGGGATGCCTATTATTATTATTATTATTTGCCGTGGCGCTCCGGGGCGACTTAAAGATGATTGATGGTGCCATTTGACTTACAGGTGAGGAAAACCTCACCCACCATCATCGAGACGGTAATGCATGGCGATTTTATAATCTGCATGTCATATCAATAGAAATTGAATTTCTATTAATACGGCACACATCAAATCCTATACCGAACCATGCAATTTAATTAAAAATTCACATGATCTGGTCTGTGATTCGAAGCCCGTCTGTCTCTGACCACAAAGTTGCCTGCCTATAAATGAATATAAGCACTTGAGACTGCTACACCACCGACTCGATACGAATATCTTAAAACTGTTTCTAGGACACTAAGGGGGAACTTAACAAAAAATAAGTCTTACATCATTGGAAAGCTAGTAAAAAATGATTTTCAGTTATAAAAATTATACTCTGTACAAGTTGGTTCAATAGTACATATTTAATTAATAACCTGTTTAACAAGAAGATGGCATGATTATCTCAATTAAATATTTCTAGTCCAGGGTTAGAAAATAAATTGTTTTTATTAGGTTTTACTTTTTAAATTGTTACCCCATATAATTGACTTTGTATTTCTAAAGCTGCTGTTTTTCAATTTATAGTGTCAATTGATGACAGTATTTTTATCTGGATTATTATATGTATATCTATTTTAACTCCGAGATATTCAACGATCTATTATAAAAGCTATTCTAGTGTTTCAGCAGATTTAGATTATTCTCTGTATTTATTACAACTTTGTTATTATTTTTTTCCACTTTGATAGGCAATTAGAATAATTTTATATTTGTTTAATGGTGCATTTGATAATATTGAATTGATGGATATTTTATTTCCAATTCATAACATTACAGTATAGTCATTTAGGTTATACTTATATAAATTTATTTGATTTTAAATCAATGATCTAGATATTTCAAAGATAATTATTTACGTTTATTATTAAGGTAGCCATTTTTGATTAAAGGCTTTCTAGGTTTACTAATTATCATTAAGCAAAAAATCAAATATTTAAAAAATCATTGACACTGAATATTCACCTCATACAAAAGCTCTTAATAATTATTCTACATTGTTTTATATTCTTTGTTATTTTATTCAATATTGTTATACAATAACATCAATTACTTCTAAATAATATATACTAGACACATAGTTAGCTATTAATCTGGTCCATTTTCAATTTGTTATCTAAATATTTATACTTATATTGGTATTAATTTTATGAATGTTGTAATTGATATTGAATCCTATAGATAGGAAAAATTAAACAAAAGGTATTTCTGTACTTGAGAATATTTAGTTTTGTTTCAGTTTGTTATTGTTATTACCTAAATGTAAGTAATGTTTAATATCTCAAATTATTAGAAAAAAATTACTTATTTCATCAGAATTTTATAAAAAGGAATGTTGATACCTTACCTTATTAACTTATTAGTTGATTTTTACAAAAAAAAATACAAATAATAATATCAAGGTCTTTACAAATTATATTGTTTATAGTTTCGCAAGGAAGTTTTATTTGGTTAATTCATTATAGTTCCAGTAAAGTTTTAAAAAGTATAGAGAGCTATAAAAAATTAATTTCAATTATTTTTTTTTATATTAAAAAAGTCAAAAATGTTTCAGTATGAATTTGCCAAATATGTAGTAGACAGCCCAACTTTATGCAGTCAATTAAGAGACTGTTTTTTTTTAAATGATAAAGTAAATTTATTGGATAGTTCAAATTGACCCATTTGAGTTTTGGGCCAGAAATTTCATAAAAAGAGACTCTGTAAAAATGTTTTATGGATCAAGATATTCACAAATCAATGAAAACGTTTGCATTGCGTATTAGTGTGATGTACTTTGTGTTCCAAATAAAAACAAACCATGCTATCAATGATTTTGTGACATATTTTGAGTTTTTTTGTATTTTTTTTTTATGTTTCTAAGTCCTAGAAAAGTAGTTATATTCCCAAATTTATTTTAATGTAATATTATTTATTTAATTTTCAACGTTTTAACTTCACTAATTTTTACTTATTTAACTAGTAAATAAAATAATAAATTTCTCAAACAATTATTTTAATACTAGAAACTTTTAAATTTTTTACTTATAAATTTATGCAAAAATGTAAAAGGAAATATATGTTATATTAATTTTATTGTAAAAAATTGTTTATTAAACATTTTATACTACACAACGTTGTGAAAAACTATGTAGATAATTCAGTTAAAATGCAGTTTTTTCACCTCTGAGTAAAGTTGAAAGTAACTACTTCCATAAGCCATATAAAGTTATAATAGAACAAATAGAAGAGCCAGAAGTGGCAGAAGCAATATCACTGGAAGGAACATGCTCATCTATACAGATAGCAGACAAGCACTACTCACCCTGAACAGACTATGATTTACTCAGGGTTAGTACTAGAATGTCATGAAGCTTTGGCCAAAGTATCCATCAACAATGTGGTCACCTTAAGATGGATCAAAGGTCACGCCACATCGAAAGGTAACCGGCTTGCTGATTCACTAGCCAAGATAGTAGCCAACCAAATACTTTTTGGACCTGGCCCTTCTATTGGCCTGACAAAATCGGTAGTGACAGACCTAATTAAAGAACATTCCCTTGTGAAATTCAAGGAAAGATGGGATGAAACAAGAGCCCAAAAAAAGAAAAGAAGAAGAAATTGCAGAGTTGCCAGGGAGCTCTTAAGTTATCTTGACAACAATGCAGCAAACAAATACTTGACTATGACTAGACATACTCTGCGCCTTGTCACAGGCATTCTGGCTGGTCATTGCCAAGTACGGAAGCATCTCCAATCTCCACATCATGGGGCTGTCAGAATCCGCACTCTGCAGAGGGTGTGAACAAGAAGATGAGTCCATCGATCATATCCTTTACGATTGCTCGACGCTCTCATTTATTAGAAGATTTGTGTTCGGCGAGTATCAGCTAACACCGGCCGATATAAGACAAGCACCTCTTGGCGTCGTTGTCAACTACATTAAATCTGTAGGCTGACTCACGAGATAGGAGGTGCCTATCATCATAGGAGGGTGCAAAATGGGCCTAATGAGGCCTAAGTGCCGTGGGGGTAACCCACCCTCCACACGTTACAGAGAACTACTTGCTGATTAAACTATAGGATTAATCTGTCAAGTAAACATATATGTAACTTTACTCAGACATGAAAAGATCGGCCCTATATAAATTAACTTAGTCTACTGTCAATATCAACTTTGTTTGGCACCCAAATTATATGATCACTAATATAAAAAATGTACTTTTAGACAATGATGCTCATTTTTTGAAGTTTTACATATCAAATCATCCTCTCAGAAATTTGTGTTTTTTTTTTATTCAGAAAATGGTTTGCCTCCCTGAAGATGGCATGGCGATGCGGGTCACCGTACGTGATACAATTCTATCGTCTGGAAAGAAACAGTTCATAATACATCTAACGCCATCAAAGACCATAAGTAGCATTTTTGAAGAGGTATCAAATGAATTCCATTATACGATCCATGAAATAGAACTCATTCTTCAAATTGGTAAAAAAGAAACAGTAAGTTTTTTGGGCTTTTATATTTATCATTTTGGATATGTGTTTTGTTTACAATCGTTAAAAGTAAATGAATAACATTCAGGTATATAATGGGTGATTCTACTGTTTTCAAAAATTAAATATTAAATTTTATCCGGTAATGTTTATTATCATACAAAAGAATTATATCTTACATTTATTTTTTAATGCTAATGCCTTTAAAATGTTGGCCTTCACTGCGGTTGACATGTTACATTTAAAAGTTCCAATTTTTGACAACACAAAGCATTTGGAGTGGTATATAGCGATTAATGTGAGTAATGTTGGCTTTCAATGTCTCAATCGTAGCCGACTTATCCTTGTAGACTTTAGACTTTACATAGCCCAAAAGAAAAAAATGCTATTCAGTTTTTGAGATAAGTGTGTCAGTAGACTATGTTGATCATAATTTGTTAAATGCCTATTTTCATATAACAATGGTCTATTCCTAGTTCTTGATCCAACATTAAAATTAAAGCAAGTAGTTCCGGGCAATTTATTACACCATTCAACAACTTATGCAACTTATTGTTGTTCCGTTTCTATTCATCTAGTGCATATTGTAGGGCTATGTTTTTCTCTAAAACCTTACTGTGCACTATTAATCATTTTATTTTTTCTAAGTAAAAAAAAAGTGTCACTTTTTGCAATCAGATGATGGACTATCTGAGCTATTTTTATTTGACACTGAAAATGATATTTCTTTTAATTCATTATGATTCAGTAGTTTAAAATTTACAAAATTTTCAATTTTAGTTAGAGACATACTCGTAATTGTTTAATTATTAATGAAGGTAACTGCTCAGATATTTGTTCAATGCTCTTTACATATAGTAATGGTTTAAAGCATTTAGAAAATTAAGATTCTGATGATTGTCGCAGATTGTCGAATTCTATATTAGTATAGCTGCTATAATCGAATTAAATTACCGGTTTTGAGCTTACATTAAATTGTAATTAGATGAAACAAAATGGATTCTATGTATTTTGAGGTGATCTTTTCGAAAAAAGGCAAAACAAAATGTAGCAGTTTTTCGAAAGTGCCGAAATTTTGGATTTTGTCAATTTTTCAATTTTGCGCATGCGCATGTCGCAAATAAATCATTATTTTTAAAACGCAGTTTACGACATTTGAAAGCTTAGAAAAAATGCTAATTTTTATGTCTCTTAAGAAATTTTGATCGGATGCACCGTTCTCGCGGTATGGACGATTGAAATTTGTTTAGTATTTTGAGGCGGCGAAGGTCGAAAAATTGAATTTGTTAAATGTTCAAACACTAAATTCTTCATAACTTTGGTAAAAATTAAGATATTTGAAGAAACAAAAATTAGTTTTGAACTTAAGGGATGTGACTATTGATTCCCAGAAGGGGGCAAGAGAAATCCCAAAATAGGGCATATGGCGGAAGGGCAAAGTGTACCGCAAGCCTAATTTCATTGTTTGCCTATAACGGCCAAACTATTTAAATTTATTTAATACCACTTACAGAGCTTACTCTTAAATATGAAATCTTATACGTGTGCGAATTTTACCGAAATCGGATTATAATTGGCCAAGATACCAAACAATTTAACAAATTTTTTTCCCTAAAAAAAAAATAAATTTTTTTTCGAAAGTTTGAAGTGGCACAAAAATGCCAAAAATGCACCCAATGACTCAAAACTTTTTTTTTTGAATACTCTATTATGTCTAGAATACGATTACATTACGGAAGTGACGACCAAAAAACACGGTTTTTGAGAAAAGTTTCCTAAAATTGACGATTTTCAGTTTTTTGGTCTGAAAATTGAGCAAACCCAAATCTCATGTCTTCTGAATATGTACAAAGTTTAAAGTGTGTATGTTTCTTCTAAGTTGTAGAATTATCCCGTCAAAAGTCCCATTACACGCGCTCCGCGGGATCCCCAAACTCGTGCATTTCTGTAATTTGATTTTTTTGTGATTTCCAGTATTAAATTTCTTACATACCTAAATTTATTAGGCCTAAAATTTATTAAATTGTATTTTACTGACTTGTTATAAGACGTTTCTTGAGTTTTGTGCAAAAAATAGAATTACCGCAAAATTAGCCGAACGTCGTATCAAGGATAGCCATGGTCTCGGCGTTCGCTATCCGACAAGTTTAAACTTGAAACGGTCATATTATTACAAATTGAATCGCTTGATAGTGTATATCGGCATAGATTTTTAATAACCGTGTTCAGCAAGCTCTGTGTACACGTGGTTTTTCGGACTTCTTCAGCAATTTATTAAGTAAGTACGTTCTTAAATTAAGAAAATTCTATCACAGTGCTATAATTTTTTTGTTTCCAGGTTGCAATGGCTGGACTGTGTTTATTATGTCATCAGAAACTTGCAGAGGGTGAACTTATCCCAATTAGACCGACAGGATTGGAAGGTCTGCAGATGGTCAGCAAAGAGAGAGGGGATGATTTTTTCAGTTCTTTAGAACCAGGTTTTATATTGCATGAAAGGTGTCGCAAACATAACGTAGCTCGACGTTACGGAAAAGAGTTTACTTATAAAACCTGGGATAGGCATAAAAGGGCCGCGATTGACAATGCCAAAAAAAGGAGGATGGAGCATCAACCGAGAAGAAAACCAGATATTAGAGAACAAAAAATAAGCTTATAACCAAGTTGGAACTTACACTCAAGCTTAGGATTAATTTCCTAACATTTTTAATGTATACCTTTTCGTATATTTTTTTGTGCTCTTTCCGATGGCGCAGTTAGTTTCTTCAAATTTATTTTTTGTTAGATGTTCTCGGAAAACCCGGAGAAAATCATATGGAAAAAAATTTAAAAATTTTACGCCTTCCGGTTTCCTGCGAATTCCCGAAAAATTATGGCAGATTTCGCCGCGGGACATTTTATTTGAGAGCCCACAAAAAAATAGCAACTTCTCTCATGGGCACATATGTCTAACATTTATAATTTCGCCACAAATTCATCGCAAATTTCATGTTCATGATTCTGATCAAAGAAACGAAAAAACAACTTTTTGGTAAAAGCACTTCTGGCGGCGAGAAATTCGCCATTAAAACTACCTGTGCAATGAAATTCCGAACTATTTTTGCCACCTCTTTCGATTGGTGCATTTATTTTTACTGTCAGAATGATACTTGCCCAGATAATTAGCATTTTTACCATGGAAAATTCCGGAAAAACCGGTTTTTCCTAATAAAAAAAAAAAATTGAAAAACAGCTACATCATTTTTTTTCTTTTTTTCGGAAAGATCACATCAAAATACACAAGGTCCACTTTGTTTCATCCAATTACAAATTAATGTAAGCTCGAAGGGGCTTTTTTTGGTTATTTAATTGGACTACTAGTGAAATTAGCTGTTGGAATAAAAGATTTCAAAGTTTGTTAATCTAGTATCTAATAAACTAGTAGCAGCTGTGATAATGTGAAATTTTAACTTTTTGGTACCACTTCATTGACAACTTTCAAAATTTTATTTAAATAATCTGTATTTTTGATATATACTGTATAAATAAGTAATACACATTTTCTTGTGAAAAATAAACTACTCAATTTTTTTTAAACGCCCATTGTCATTAGCCCAAAATTAATTATGACCCCCTGCAAATTTGACAAGGAGCCGCCGCTGTATGTATCCATACCCAAGTAAGAAAACTAGCTATATTTTTATACAATTTTCCATTTTAAAATGCCCATTTCATTCTTAGAATGTCTAAAAAAGCATTATTCTGTCTTTTTAGTAACTCATTTTTAAAAATCGAATTTTTCTTTTCTATATGTGCTGTTATCTGTTTATGTATATGATTCACAATTAGTGAGAAATGATTAGCCTTCTATGCAAATTTAAAAATCGAAGACAATTGTATTGGGCCAATTTATTCACATCGGTTAATGAATATTGATATGTATAGGCGACAATGAACTGGTAAACTCATGGTATTGATCTTGAAAATTCGGTTTTTCCATATTTAGTATATTATTGGATCACTACAAATGGAATTTTAAAACGTGGGCCACATTAACCACTGTTAAATAAAGGATTTGGTATAGTTGTGTTAAACAATAGGCCAACTATAGAAATATCGCAAATGAAAGAAAACAGTCTTACTTCTGTAGGGAATCGGAAGTCGGCTAAAATAGGTAAAAAACATTAGCAAATTGATATCTTTGGTCGCCAGTTGTGCAAATAGATTTTTTTTAAATAGCATATATTTTTAAATGCTCCATGTTATTTTTTAAGAAAAAATAAATAACTTTTCTCTAAACCATTTTTTCCTCTTTCCCTATGTTTTGAAATAATAATAATAATTCAAAGATAAAATTTACTTCAAATATTGAAAAGAATAGGCAAGAGACAAATATACCTAATGCATTAAATACAAATCATTAGTAAAGTAAATGGTACAAAGTATACACTGTTGGTGGATACTGGAGCAACTAGAACCATTATACGACCAACAACAATAAATAACCATAAGAAACTTCTACCAACAAGATTGTGACTGCGGACTGCCACATCCTTGGGGAAATCCAGCTTCAATTAAGAATTGGTACAGAAAAGTTCACTCACACTGTTATTGTCGCTGATATTGAAGATGTTATACTTGGAATGGATGTAATGAACTTACATGGTTTCCATTTAGACTTCAAGAACAGAATGATCAAAGTTGGTACTGAAGAGGTATTTGTATTTCTACATCCATAAAGGGACAGTACCGTGCCAGTAGCTGTACAGAAAGATACGGTGGTACCTGGTAGAAGTAAAACCATTATACTAGCACGGCTTAAATAACTATGGAAGAAGGAACACCTGTCATGATGGAACCTTGGAACCACGATGAAGAGATTGGACGAGGTATTCTGATCGGAAAGCGGTTGGTCACGACTGCTAAAGAAATTCCAGTACGTCTCATAAACATTAATGAGCACCCAATTACCATCAAGAAAGACTAGAATCGGAACTTGTGTACAACTTCCATATTTCTTCAAACAACCTCTGATAATTCCAACGACAAATTCGAGCAAATGATTGCAGTTGCTGGTCAATCTCTAAATCATTTAGAGAAAAAGAAAAAGGAATTTCTTCGACGATATCGTGATATTTTTGTACCAAAAGGAGGAAAAACAGGAAGAACTGTTGTGAAACAAAAAATTGATATTGGTGACGCCAAGCAGATTCGTCAATCAGCTCGAAGATTACCAAAGGCCAAGAGAGAGGAAGCTAAAAGGATTGTTCGCGAAATGGAGGAAGACAGGGTGATAAAAAATTATGGAACTACGAGGTTCTGTGTGGACTACCGTCAGTTGAACAATGTTACCAAGAAAGACAGTTATTCTCTTCCTCGAATCGACGATACTTTGGAAACATTGGCCAAAAGTAAACTATTTTCTACCTTAGACCTAAAGTCTGGATATTAACAGGTGGAAGTGGACCCAGTAGACAAAGAAAAGACATCTTTTTCCACCGGATCTGGATGGTGGCAATTCAATGTCATGCCATTTGGACTATGTAATGCCCCCGCGACATTTGAAAGACTTATGGAAAATGTATTGAGAGGGTTATCATGGAAAATGTGCCTGGTATATTTAGACATTATAGTCTTGGGGAAGATATTTGATGAACATCTAAATAACTTAGAAGATGTTTTTAAAAGACTTCAAGCTGCCCAACTGATGCAAAACCCAAGAAATAAAATCAGTTACATGGGTTATATAGTCAGTAAGGATGGCGTGGCTGTAGAAAAGGAGAAAGTCGCTTTTATCAAAGAGTGGCCACAACCAAAGGATAAACACTAAATAAGAAGAATGCTTGGACTTTGTACGTAGTATCGAAGATTCATAAAGAAATTTGCAGATATTGCTAAACCACTAACACGACTCACAGAAGAAGCAAGAGAATTCTGCTGGAATGAAGACTTTCAAACTGCCTCTGAAATGCTAAAGAAGCATTTAACAACAGCGCAAATACTAGGCTCCCAACTACCAGAGGGAGAATTTATCCTGGATACTGATGCCAGTAATGTGGGAATTGGAGGAGTGCTTTCACAAATTCAGGAAGGGAAAGAAAGAGTACTAGTTTATTTTAGTAAAGTGCTCTCGAAACCTGAACGAAATTACTGCGTCACAAGAAGAGAACTCCTGGCAGTTGTAAAGTGCATGGAACACTTCTACCATTACCTGAAGTCATAGACACTGAAACAAAAAACAATATTAAGTACAGTCGTAAAACTAATAATACTTTTATGTTATAAATACAAATGGTAAAGGTTTTACCTTGGAGAACAATCGTTGAATTGACACATATTCTTCCGATTTATTAAAATTGTCTTAGGGGAATTTATAAATCGAGTTACAAAAATGTAATTTGATTGGAAATATAAAGATAAAATGAAGTTGAGACGACCAACATAAACACTATTTTGAGATATGACAAGTGAACTCAATTTGAGTCGTATTTTGAATAATTCGAAGTTAATAATTTTATATTTATGAAAATGTTATCTTATTTAAGTCATGCTATTAAAAAAAAAAATGGTATTTATTCTCACCAAAACTGACTAGCTGCACTTGCTCGAGTTTGACATATGACGTAAAAGTGTGGGGACACTTTTAGTATCGTCATATCATCTCTCCTCTTTATTTTATATCAATGATTGGAAAGTTCGTATGCCCCGCCTTACTTTGTGATGTCACTGTGTGTGTTGCGCAAATTAGGGTGATTTAAGTGATTTTATGTTTGTTTCACTACGTTTCACGGATCTTTTGACGTGTGGACCTCTCTTTTTAGCTAAAAACTTTCGAGAAAACTTCTCGCTCTGCGAGCTAATTTATAAAAGTGCGCCACGGAGAGACAATTAGCCATAGAATAGTAGCGTACCCAAAAATAGAGATTAACACATATATTATGAAAACAATAAAATTATTAAAATTGAATTAATATTTTTATGTCATTTATTTTAAAATAATGTGTTTTTATAAAATATAACTGGGCTTTCACTGCACAAATGAATCAATTGAGAAACCGCCCCTGGTACCCCCTTACTAACAAAAAAAAAAAAATTATAGAAATTGGACAAGGTGGTAAAGAATTATCGATAAACATACATAAAAAATTAAGAGTTTGAGGATTTTCTCATGGACCCAATTATTAGATTTTGACCAAATGTATATGGGACCTCCCCAGAAGTTCCCCCTTTCTAACAAAAAAAGAATAATTGAAATCGGAGACCGTGTTAAAGAATTATCGCTGAACATACATAAAAAAATCTGACGAATTGAGAACCTCCTCCTTTTTTGAATTCTGTTATTAAAAAAATAAGAAGAATTATCTTACTTTTTGCCAACCACAAACATAGAAGGAAATCTTGGTTTACAATTTGAATTATAACTATTGTGTAATCAATCTTTTTATTATCATTAGGATGCTCATATCTTATCTTAAATTATTTTGACATTTAACACACCTTCACTTGTTTTATAATTGTTTATTATAACAAAAATCATTCCAGTTGGCTTGTATAATTCGAACATAACTCTTTCATCATATAACACATGATTTAATTGACAACATTATTTGGTAACATTAATACAAAGATAGCACGTTTTACCATTGAATTATTATTTACAAGCCAATATTTAGATAAAGTCAGGTATAATCTCTCTGTAAACATTTTATCGCTTTTGAAATTTGCCATATAATGTAACAGTCTAAGCCTATTTGTACGTTCAATACATCTTGTTCTAAAATGAAAGATGAAAATCCAGTTGGATTCTGTCGCAAAATGAGCTGTCTTAATTTTTGCAGGAAGTATCCCAAGGTAGTAAACAACTAGAGCAACATTTATTTTTTATTGATTATATTACTATTAGATGACCCTTTTATTTATCAAAAGGTTTTATGTACATAAAAAGAAGTTTCGATATATGGAATTTATATTTACAAAAACGCTACTAGGATGATTTTTTGCTGTTTTTGTTATCATATTATTTGGTTATTTTGATAATGATCAGACCAGTAGATTTTTTAGAAACATTCAGCCGCTATACAGGTACGGAAATTTAAATAGGGACCATTTAGCTAAATACATTGGAGACTAGTATAAGTGGGAGTGTGGTGGCAGTCAAATGTATCATGTATTGACTGCGCCTTGCTGATCAGCGGTCCTTGGTATAAGCATGGTCCTATTGTACCTTCTCTAATTCATTGTAAAATAGATGGCCTGAGTTCAAATTTCCGTACCTGTATTTTTTATCCCAATTTAACAAAGCGAAATTTCAGCGTTTTAATTTTTGACAATTTACAAGAATTATGTTCCAAGTCACTGAGTGTTCTGCACCTACTGGCAGATGATCAACAACAGAATATTAAAGTGGAACTTCTCTGGGTATTAATAACATTGTAACAGGTGACAAAACGCGGCTGAACTACCATGATGTAACTTCTAAGTCCAAAAAGAAATTTGTCTATTCGAAACTGAGATGATGCCTTGAGATCTGCAAAGATCAATGAGCCAACATTTTTATGTTTATGTATAGGTACAGTATGGTTGGTACAAATGAAAGAAATACATTTATTAGTTTGCAACTCGTTGACTTTTGGAAAAAATCCCGAAACATGTCGATTTTTATTTTTAAATACGCGTTCTGTCAAATGTTCTTTTAATTCGTTACAACATTGGTGGGAGCGTGATGACATTCAGTAAATTTCTATGATAAAAACATGTTTCTGAAGTGTGAAATTTTAGATCTTTGTGTCTTTACTAACTTTTGGTTCTTATTAATGTATTTATTCAATTTAATTTTACATTATCAAACAGGATAAAATAGGTAATATAGCAATGAAATGTATAATTTTTTTTCAGCATGTCCTTAACGAGAGCAAAAACAAGACTGTCCAGGAAGCAGGCATCAAATGGACACCCTTAGATCGTTTATCGATTATAATTGGACAGATCAAAGCCAAACCGATGTCACTTTTCGTCCAAGAGAGTGAGGACGATCTTCTCCTTGGCGCGTCTGCCAGTCCAACGGCGGCAGACGTGCCCAGTACCACCAGCTTGGCACCACCAGCAACACACCAAGTAAAACATTTATTTATTTATTATTTACAAGGGCTAATTCTCACTATGCTTCTCCACTACTGACATATTTGAGCTATTGAGAACCAAACTGGTATAACTCAATAAATTTTCGATTTTGAGTTATACAAGGTGTTTTTTAAACATGCGGCAAAAATTCAAGGTGTTGTTCCTTGGACTATTCTAAGAATATTTTGTCCTTTGATGATTTTTGAAAATCGTTTTGTTAGGAGATACAGGGCGAACAAAATTTTAGATAACATTATTTTATTACCAAAAAATACATGTAAATGTTACTTAATCTACAAGAACTGTTGAAAATGACTACCTCCAGCAAGAATACAAGCATCCAATCTTCTCCTCATTGACTGCCGAACTCTTTCAAAAACACCAGGGTAATTTCTTATTGAGTTACACCCAGCAATTATCCCAATTCGCAAGTCTTCCACATTTTCTACTGGAGTAGTATACACTAATGACTTTAGATGGCCCCATAGGAAATAATCCAAGGGAAAAAATAGCCGTTTTAGTAATTGGAATGTTGTTAAAAAATAATAAAAATAACAAATTTTTAAATAAGTTGTATGTTCTTGGTTAACACAGTGTAGTACCTATTTGTATTTAGACTATTAATAATTTTAAAAATGAATAAAAACAGTTATCTCGAAAATGTTGTGCGCCCTGTATCTTCTAAACGAAATGGAATTTTAAAAATCTTTAAAGAACAAAATATTCTTAGAATAGTCCAAGGAACAACCTCTTTAATTTTTTCCGCATGTTTAAAAAACACCCTGTATACCAGTTTCAGTTTTTTTTGTCTAAAAACAGTAAACTTACAAAGTAGTTTAAGTTCCCTTCATGATTTTAACATAGAACACTTACAGTGTTCTGGTTCTAAAAAAATAGCTTTACCCAAGAACGTGGAAGAGTGGTATAACTCCTCGCGAGAAGTAAACTTAATTTTAATACACTGTTTAAAAAATGTTTTAATACAATTTTTTTATACAATGTTTTAATACAATTTTTTAATACAATGTTTTAATACAATGTTTTAATACAATGTTTTAATACAATGTTTTAATGCAATGTTTTAATACAATATTTTAATACAATACTTTAATACAATGTTTTAATACAATATTTTAATACAATGTTTTAATACAATGTTTTAATACGATGTTTTAATATAGAGTTTTAATACAAAGTTTTAATAATATTTTAATACTTACTATTTTTAATTCATTGTATTATTTGAATGTTTTTCCTTTTCTACTGTTCTATATCCCCGCATCTTCTTTTCCATCTTTGTGTATGTGTTTATTTCCAAATATTTGCATGCTTCTACTTGTTCTAGTTTAATAATTTTTTATCGGTTTCCTTATTTTCATGACTTTACTTTTATCGATGTTAATTTTCATGTTTTTCTGTTTTAAAGCTGCTTTCCAAATATTCAAATTCGGTATTCAACTGTAATTTCTGATGTTATTGTATGTGCCGACAATTGCATTTATCAGTTTACTGTTAATTCCTATTCTTCTATGGCTCTTCCATATCATATCTCTTGATAAACTAAACAGTGAAAAGCTTTCTTGCTATCTCTAAAAGCTACATACATAGTGACCTTATCTATGTTCTTTTCGATCAGCTGTTTTTTAATTAATTGATCAATTTACAGAAAAAATGTATAGAACATATTTTGTAGCAAAATTAATGCTCTTTCTTTTTTTTTGTAGAAGACTCAAGGTTACAAAACTTCTGCACTTATTTCTAATAGATCCCCTTTCTTCTACCTAACCACTGTTATGTATTGCAATAGGATTCTATTCATTAAGTGGTATTCCAATTGGTAGAATATTCACCCTATCTGCCATATTTGGCACATAGCGACTACATACTGTTCTGGAAACTGAAATAACAATTGCATAGTAGAACATCTTACGTAATAATGATGTTATGTCAGTTTTAAACGAATAGTTTGAAGAGGTTGGAAAGCATTTCTTCCATTACGCTCTTGGAGAGCTTGAGCCTCGCTGCAATTAAGGGAGATTATGTTTTTTATTTATTTATATACACGGGTAACCCCTATTAAAGACAAATGTTAATAACACAATTTACAAATAGGTATCATAATTTACAATTAGGTAACACAATTGCAACATATTACCAAAATAAAATAATTTTTTTTTTTTCTTAAATTACTATATCTCAAAAAATATCACAAGAAAAAACAACAAAAAAAATATGTGTGAAGAAGGTGAGTGCTGACCATAATTTGAATGGTGAAAAGATATACTAAATTGATTTTGATTTCTTAGTGGCCTGTTGGGAACATTAAAATTAACTCTACATAAAAGTTCTGGGCTTAATGTAATTCCATTTACCAGCTTATAAACGATATATAACATCATTTAGTAACCTACGAGTTTTTAAAATAACCATGTTTAGCCTTTGTAAAATAGGCAAATAATTTCAATTAACATGAGGAATACCAAGTCTAAATTCACACCAACGTAAAAATAATATGGTTTTCATAAATTTGATTTAAAGAAGTTAATATATGAACATTTGTTCACATTAAGGCAGTTTTTTTTGTAGCACCAATTTGTTAATGAATTTAGATCTTTTTGAAGTAAAAGTTGGTCATAGGAATTATTAATTGGTCTATGTAATTTTAAATCATCTGCGAACAAGATATATTTGGAAAAATTTATATTGTCCCCAATGTCATTTATGAATAAGTTAAAAAGCAGTGGAGCATAGTGTGAGCCTTGAGGTACCCCTGTGAACACCTGTATTGATTTTGAAAGATTCGATCCTACTTTAACCTTTTGTGATCTACCAGTTAAACTCGACCCCCACTTTAAGACCCTATCATGGAACTCTAACAATCTAAGTTTCTTAAAAGAATACTGTGGTCAACTCTGTCGAATGCTCTGGAAAAGTCAGCATATACTGCATCAACTTTGCTTTGTTCTCTAAGGCATCAATTATATTACATTAATACATCAACAAGTTCGTAACAGTACTCCATTATACCACTATTTAACGATTCATTAAAAATAATAAACAAGGGTAAAGTTAATGAATAAACACATCTTTTTAAAAATACATTTGGAATACCGTCAGGGTCTGCCACGAACTTGTCTGGTAAACTAGTTATTTTGTTAAATATATCAGCAATAGAAATTGTGGGACATGGAATATCATAAATGCTGGTTTTTGCCTTCCTATCTTGTGAAATTGGAATATCTTCATTATTTACATATACACTGGAAAAAATCTGCAAAAAGATCAGAAATTTCCTGAGAAAGTTGTTGCTCTTATGTTTTCATGTTACATGGTATGAGGTAAGTTATAACTTTGCTTTATAGTTTATAAATTTCCAGAATAATTTTGGATTTATTGTTAAATAGTTTTTGTAACATTCATTTGTAAGATTTTTGCATAGTTCCCTGACATCAGAACATTTTATGTATTCATTAATACCTTTCGTTTCTTTATAACTCTTATGCACAATTTTCTTTTCAGTAATATATGACCTTAATTCAGGACTACACCACTTTGGAAAATTAGATGTTTTATATCGTTTTACAGGAACGAATAGTGCCAAGCTCAAATGTAAGATATAATAGAAATCCGAGATTAGAGTTTCCATGTCTTTAACCTTTTAGAAGAGAATTCCAATCTATAGCTAATATATAATTGTTGATTGCTAAAAAATCGATATTACGAAAATCATAGTAAAATTCATTATGTGCTTCATTATAATGTATAGTTAGGGAGTAAGCAATGTGATGAAATGAATCTTTAATAAGTTTGTCGGTGGGAATAGTAACTACAAGATCCTCCACATTGGTAAACACTAAGTCTAAGAATACATTTCTTGGGTTAGGGATGTTATTAATCTGGGTACAATTCAAGTAATTATAAATTATAACTTTGTGAAATAGGTACAGCTGGTGATGTATTAGGACACACCACGGAGATTTCATTTGGACCATTATTCCATGTCGCCTCAATTAAATTAAAGTTACCAAATACAATTAACTGTGATTATGGATGTCTATTTAATGCAACTTCGATCGAATTACAATGCAAAATATACTTAATTTCGGGAGAGTTTGGTGGAATATAAACCCCTGCTATTATCAGTTTGACCCTACCTGTTTCACATAATACAAAAATGTGTTCAATGTCTTCATTTATAAAAGTTACAGAACTTGCCTTAATTGAGTCTGTCACTGCTATCTGTAACCCTCCCCTCGTGATTTAGAACTTGAAAGTGCACTACGATCACATCTGAACACATATGAGTGGAATTTTATCTTGCCTTCAATAAATTCATGACTTAGCCATGTTTCGAGCAATATAATCACATGGAATCTGGAATTAACTTTAGCATGGGTGATCTCTGTCAGCTTCATTCTCATTCCTCCTATATTTTGGCAGTTTTCCCTTCAAGTATTTTATCATTAAATCCTTCTCACCATCATTCATTCTTTCTTTTAGTTCTTTTATTTTCTAGAATTCATCTTGCTGAAGTTTTGTTTGATCTGGACCTAATTTCCAATTAACATTTTTGTTTTGCCTTTTTAATCTAAGGATAGTCTGCACTTTTTCGGTGTTAGTACCATTTTAAGTGATCTTGGTTTGCTATTATTTGCTTTTCCTACTCTTGATTACTTTTATAATGTCTGGCTCGCTTATATTTGCTTACATTAATTGTTGACATATTATAAATAGGTCAGAGGCAGAACATATGGATCAACCCTCTCGCCCAACTTTGAGAGTTCCTGTAACATTTTAATAAAATGTGTTATCACTTTCTCTTCTTGCAGGACTTCAACAGAAGCTTCACCACAACTGAGGAAAGACGTTCGTATTTGAAGCCAATCATAATAGAGTCAACGAACTACGTGGGACTGGTGAACCAAGCTATGACATGCTACTTAAACAGCTTACTGCAAGCATTATACATGACGCCCGAATTTAGAAACGCCCTTTACAACTGGGAATTCGACGGCATCAACGAATCCAGATCCATACCGTACCAATTGCAGAAGTTGTTTTTGAACTTGCAGACCTCCTCCAAGTCGGCCGTAGAAACAACGGATTTGACGTACAGCTTCGGATGGCAGAACAGCGACGCTTGGCATCAGCACGACATCCAGGAATTGTGCAGGGTGATGTTCGACGCGCTCGAACAAAAATTCAAGGACACAAAACAAGCGAATCTGATAAACGACTTGTATGAGGGAAAAATGTTGGATTACGTTAAATGTTTGGAATGCGGGACGGAAAAGTCGCGAGAAGATACTTTCTTGGACATTCCATTGCCTGTAAGGCCATTCGGTAACGCCGTGGCGTATAACAGCGTCGAAGAGGCTTTGAGGGCATTTGTACAACCGGAAACTCTCGATGGAAACAACCAGTATCACTGCGAGAAGTGCAATAAGAAATGCGATGCTCATAAAGGATTGAAGTTTACCAAATTTCCGTATTTGCTGACATTGCATTTAAAAAGGTTCGATTTCGATTATAACACCATGCACAGGATCAAACTCAATGATAAGTGAGTAAAATGTTTATATATTCGTTAGTTTTTGATATTCTTGGGTTGTTGGTGTTATTGTAAAGCTTTCGGCAACTTTTACCGTAACATCGATTTCAAAACTTTTATTTTTTTTTTTTATATACGGGGAAAACCCATTTAAGTTACAATAAATTGTTAAAAATTATGTTGGGGTATTTTGTGTTGTGCTTAAATCTATTTACAGAAGAATCAAATATAATATCCAGAGAATTTGCCAAAGTACCCGAGGAATACTACTGTTAAAAGTACTATCAAGTCTATAACAAGGAATATAAAATATTTGTGATTGCCTGGTATTACGAATAGGAACAAAAAGATGAATTTTTGATAGAATTTCAGGACTGTCATAACTTCCATTAACAATATTAAAAAATAAAATCAGGCCTTAATATTACTTTTAACAGAGGTTTGAATAGAGTTTACATAATTTAAATAACACTCTTTGGACAAGAGTTTACAGTGAGTTCTTAGACTACTAAATAAGGCATAACTTTCAGGAGATTTTGTACTTTTAAAAATATGAGCAATCTTCTTATCATAAATCAATTTTCTAAGATGTGGTGGATACCAGCATGGAAAATTTTTTATTGAAATTTTTTTAAGTGAAACAAATAATTCCATTGCTGAATACAGTGCATCATAGAAAGTATTTACCGCATTTAAAATACTGGCACATGACAGTAAAATCGGTGTTACAAAAGTTATAGTAATATTTCATGCATAGTTTCGATATTTGTCTTGTATTGTAGAGTGGTTTCAAGCGGCGGGTGGTGAACGTATAACCTTTTAATTCCTATTAGTTGTTCCCACCTCTAATTGGTAAAATAAAATACTATAATATTTATCGATGTTGAACATTTTGGAACCAGAAAAACTTAATTTGATATAGATTCCTTCCCTATATTCGAAAGAGATACAAAATATTTTCTAGAATATTAAAGTTTTTATTATTTTGAAGACTTGAACATTCTAGAAAATATCTCTTTCGAATATAAGGAAGGAATTTATATCAAATTAAGTATATTCCTTTCAAATTTTCAACATCAATAAATATAGTATTTTCATTTGTCCATTAGAGGTGGAGATAACTATTACGAAAAGTTTTGAAGTCGATGTAACAGTATAATTTACCATTGCAGTGCCTTCTTCAGTATTAGTTTATTTTAATATTATTTATTGAATAATTATTAGAATTTGGTTTTTAACTGTTTATGTAACAAAGGGAGTCAGCTGAGGGTCTATTATTTATTTATAGTTGGGGTTGTCTGCCATGTTATAAACAAAGTAGTTTGGAGATGCATAATTAATACCTATTTCTCATTTTTAGGGTTGTGTTTTCAGAAAAATTGAATCTAAATTCGTTCATAACGGTACATGGTTCAGAGAACAACGAAACTTTAGAAGATAGAGAAACCGTGGTTAAGTGCGACGATTGCAGTACAACGGATTCTGGTTCAGCTGACGACGAAAGTTGCCAGGGCACCGACGTATCTTCCACCGTAAACGGCCAAGATGATAATTGCGCGGACAGCGATGAAGGTAACCAACAAATTATGTATATTTTTTTTATCATTTCAAGCATTTCTCTGCTCTCTCAATTGGCATTTAAAGTGCACAATCATGACGAAATGTACATTTATATTGTTTTTTAAGGTATCGATGTTAGTTCAGGAAACAACCATGACGACGATGCCAAAGGTCCTTACGTTTACGAACTGTTCAGTATTATGATACACTCGGGTAGCGCTTCCGGAGGGCATTATTACGCATATATCAAAGACTTCGATAAAAATCTTTGGTTCTGTTTTAACGACCAAAGCGTTACGGGGGTGAGTCAATAATTACTCCATTTTATAAATATATTTGGCTAGATTTTATCGAATTATCACGTTTTCTTTTCTTCTGTACATTATTTCAGATTACTGAAGATGATATAAGAAAAACGTACGGAGGAGGTCCTAGGCGAGGGTATTATTCAGGAGCGTATTCGTCTAGTACGAATGCTTACATGCTTATGTACAGACAAATTGATAAGGAAAGGAATGCTGAAGCCATTGGGTATTCCGATTTTCCACCGCACATTAAGAAGTTGTTAACGGATATGAGGAAAAAAGAAGAGGAGGATAGAATCAACAGGGAGAAGGAGAACGATATGATGAGGTTGACGGTAAGTTTGATATTGAGTGTTTTTCAAGATATATAGCTCTATTTAAATACAGTATTTGTTTATAGTTGTTAAATTATTAAAATTACATAAATACAAACGATTCTAAATAATAATTTGGTATCTTAATTTTGTATTAAGTGGTTTAATAAATTCATTTTAAACAAACTAAGACTTGTAGAATATTTTATATTTTCAGCTAGAGTGTTATAATTAATGAATCCTTTATAAATCAATGTATTAGTATTCAATGTTTTCGTTTGATTATTTACATACAAATTATTTCTTATTCTAGTATTATACTGATGAATGAGATTATTTAAAATTACAAATTTGTTAAAATATAATGGCAAAAGATTGTGTAACTTTTTGTAAATAATATGCCATCGTTAAATATGTAATCCTGCTAGTTACAGTATGTAACAGGCAAATGGAATAAATTCAGTAGCTCAATTACTGTGCATATTTATAAAAAATCCCGAAACAAGTGACGTTTAGATTATAACGTCCTGCAATGAGAAAATTACACCCCTACCTTCAACCCCCTTTGAGTGACAGGGCTTGTTCGTTTGTTACGTCTGACTAATCTATCTGTTCGCGATCGTTCGTTTATTCAATCTGGAGTTGAAGGTCGTAAATCTGGAGCGTTTTTTTATTGAAATCGGTCGAGTCTAAGGAAATTTTTTCACAAAAAGCATTTGTTTTGTAATATCCATAAATGCTACAAAAAACATTTTCTCCCATTAGGTTTACTGTCAACATCCAACCACGAAGATTCTAAACGAAACCAAGCTGCTCGTCTTCAATGATTCCACTCTGGGGGAGGCAGTCAGGGACGCTTATCAGCGCTTCAATCTCGATACAGCGACGGTGGACTTGAAGGATTGCCGGCTGGTGGTGTACAACAGGAAGCAGGAATGCATCGACAGTAGCTACGAATCGGACGAAATTAAATTCTGTGATATTTTGAATATGATGCAGAAACGATCCAGCTATTTCGCTGAATGGATGTTAGAAATAAGAGAACCAGGTACATTTTTTTCGTAAAAATTTTTTTATCAACATTTTTTCTTAAATTTTTTAATCAAAATATTTTATGCACATTTTTTTTTGTTAACATTTTAATTTTTTTATTCCCATTTTTTTTTTGTTTTTTTTAACAACCGAATTTAGCTTCCAAAGAAGCCCGAAGTTTTCTTATGGCAACTGGCTTTTGGTCGAATCTATGCTACAATTTTTACCTCCTAATTAAAAGTGTCCATGGACACACACTTCTTGTATGACTAGATTTTAACTTACCGTGTGTTAAACTTGAGAATTCTCATAATTTTCAAGGGAAGGGTAAGGTTAATTCGTGCAAAAAAGGCACTTTTTGTGATTTTTTTTTTGACAACGCAGTTAAAAATCTGTTTATTTAAACTCATGGTACATTAAAGTATAACATTCAAAGAATATTGTGTCAAATTTTCATGTAGAAATATTAAAAAATACGGAAATGGTATTCGGAAGCGTCTCGTAAAAAAGTAGAATTGCGGTGCCCCTCATAACTCGGTGCTGGATCCTCAGAAATAAAAAAATCAAAGTTCTCTCGTTAGATAATCGTTCTCCCCAGGTAACACTGGGAGGGTTTTTCGAAATTTCAATTTTTCACTTTTTGGGAACACTGAAGTAAAAAACGCGATTCTTGCAAAAAAATAGGCTAATTTGAACAAATTTGAAAAAACTCTCCAGCGTTACCTCGTAAATTATGTACAGAAATAGTGTTCAAAATTTCAAAAGGATAGGTGCAGTAGTTTTGAAGTTATGAGGGGCACTGACTTTGGAAACATGAGTTGTTGTAAAAACGCTTTAAAGTTTTGAACACTAAAATTTTTGGAATAAAACGTTTATAAGCGAGTTTTATCGGCTTATCTTACACTGAATCATCGATGCCAGGTCCATAAAAGATGTTGCTATCATTCATGATGTCTAAAGCATCTTTTTGATCCTGTCTGATTCCTAAGTCTTGCATGTAGGTTAGTAAAGCAACAGAACATGACAGGCCAATGCTACACTAAATTATATACAGTACAGATATAATAGTATATTATGCAACGATCATGTAATGATGGTTATTAATACACGAGCATTAACCGGGATACGAAACGAGCCAAAGGCGAGTTTCGTATGGTTTATGCGAGTGTTTTAATAACCATTACATGAGAGTTGCATACGCTATTTTTTCTACACCCGATAAATAATCAAGACCTATAAATATTATATTTATATTGGTATTGAACACAATAACAGTAATTACTCGTATTTCTATAAAAAATTCTACAAAATTGTAATTAATGGTATTACTTCAGGTATTGGTATTTCCCTAGATTTTTGCGGTAAAATATTTTGTACTGTATTTTCTGCTTTCTCCGATATGTGTGGAGGAGTCTTCTATATCGCTAATATCAGACATTTTAATATTATAATTATCGAAGTTTAGCTACCTACGAAAATTTAATACGTTTTGACAACTAAAATAATTACATAGGAACCTAGGACAAACGTCAAACAGCATGCTTGATTGAAAAATTGTAGGTTTCTATTGATTAAAAATCTGTATCGTAATGAAAAATCTGTATCATAATGGGTATCATTATGAAACGGATTATGGGCATATAAGTGCATTATTATAATACGGGTGTAGAAAAACACGTTTGTACTTGTGTTAAAATTTCTATAAAGAAAGGTAGGAGGTAAGGTTAGGGGTCATATAGTGAGCGAAACAGCTGCCAGGCAAGGGCGACTCCTAGACGAATTTTCGGTGGGTGCCATTGCCTTTAGCCATTATCTTTTTAGCATATTTTTTTGAATAAATGGCTCATACATCGTAAGAATTTTCATCTCGGTGGCCCCCATAGCTCCTTCCCCTGGAGCCGCCCTGGTATGAGTCATGTATGAGGTGCGGTTACTCTCAAATTTTCACACAATATTCTTGAAAGGTTTTCCATTCACAAAATCAAATATAAAAAAATTCAAAAAAAAGTTTAAAAACTTTACTACTAAATAAATATTTTTTTTATGTTTCATGTAATTTATTTTATAAATTAGTGAAAGTCATATATTATTTTAAAATTATTTTGTCTCAATAACCTAAAATAATTTTTTAAATTTGTAGATTTTCGTTAGTGGGTCATAGAAAAAATATACTGTATAACTCCAGTAGATTGTCCATATCGCACTTAGACGATTGAACATTCCGGCTACGGCGTAGTGTTCAAACTTCGTCTTCGTGCGATATGGCCATCATATCCACTCTTGTTGAACAAACTACTATTTTTGTAACATTTTTTTTTCATCAATATTTTATTTTAATCAAAATTTGTTTGGATGTTGAACTTCGAACTTTAAACTTTGGACATTTGAACTAATTAGCAATTTCCATCAGAAACCCCATGGGAAACCTTCCAAGCTGATGGCATTAACATGAAAGTGTACAACATTATCTTGGAAACCGAAGAAGTCAACGAACCTCGCCTAGTCCGCGTTGACGTCGACGATACCGTACAAATTCTGAAGGAGAAAATTGGGAAGCTACTCAATATGGATCCAGAAACAGTTAAGGTCGTTATGGAGATGTACAGCAATGAACCAAAGGTAAATTCTTGCGTTCTTCACGTTTATTGAATTAGTTAAACAAAAACAAAATGAATTAGTAGTTAGAAGTGTCCAAAATATAATCCTCATTTTTTTTTTCAAGTATTTGGACAACGATGAGGCCATAGTGAAGTTCGACTCAAACTGCAGCAACTACAAGCTCTATGTGTCGAATGCCTTGGATGAAGATCCTGAGAAGACGTTTTTGTTTTCAAAATTGAAGAGGTTGATTCAGCAGTTTGGGTACATTATCAGTTTACAAGTTGTGTTACCAGACACTGATGTTGGTAAGTAAAATATTTTGTCCACCTATCGTAATTATATCGTGCATATATTTTTGTTTTCAGCTACTTTAGAAGCTATGTCCATCCCGTCGTTGGACTTAAACCAAAATTTAGACAAATTAGAACTAGGTAGCGGGGATAGGTGTACCAATTCACCTAATTTGAGGGTATCCCCACAACCTGGCCAGACTGACGGTTTCGGAGACCAAAGTAATAGTGAGGATAGTAGTTTAAGTGACAGTGACCGTACATTAGTAGGTGAAACCCCAGGTGAGTCAATAAAAAACCATGTATTAAAAAAAGTTTAGATATATAAGAATTTGATGGTTTAGTATTATTGTGCATTTTTAATATATTTAATGGATGATTTATTTGAACTATTTCAATTAACTATTTTCTTTTGAACTATTTTTTCGTTTGAACTATTTTTCTTTGAGCTATTTTTTTAGTAACCATGTTATGCAAGTCGCAATACGGAATATACGGATGATTTCTTACCAGCTGTCAAAATTTGACATCCAATTCATATTTTTATTTTATTGTAACTGTTAGTAACTTCAAAATTTGTTGCCCGGTTCATAGAAACGAAAAAAAAATAATTTTTTTTAAGGTGATTGTATAGGCATGCTTCCCAGTAGTCCGACGTCGCCCACCGATCATCACATGGCGTCGCCGGGTGATCCCCGAGAGGACAACTACAGTTACGACATCATGGGCAATCCCGGCGAAGAAATGAACTGGGACGACGTGGAAACGCATTCGGATGGTTGCTCTCCGAATTACTATTTCAAAATTACCAGCGAGTCGCACATTACCGATCCTGCAAACTGGGAAAACACTCTTGTTAGGTAACCGAATTTTTCAGACATTTTCGGATATTTGAACTACTTACCTAACATATGTTTTAATAATTTTCATTTTAATAACTTTCTATAGTATGTTTGAAAAAATTGTTTTTAATATAAACAAATTTTGTATAATATTGATAAAAAAAATGTATTATTACTAGTTCATCTTAATTACTTTTATTATTCTTTATTTCTACAATTTACGTATTTCTATTTCAGATGTTGTAAAATATTAGTAGATAAGAGAATGACATTAGAAAGGTTTAAGAAAAATCTAGAAGTAATATTAAGGGTGCCGTCTGAATATTTTAAAATCTATAAACACTACGCGAATTCGGAAGAGGAGTGGAGCTGTCTGTCGGACACCTTAAGATCGGCCAAAGATGGAGAACGGTAAGCGTAAAATTCAATAAGTATTTAAAAAATAACGGACTTCAAAAAGGAATTTAAAACCACCTTCACCTTTATTCCAGGTTAACCTTGAAATTAGGGCGGGTATTAAGAAAGGACGAGCTGAAATGCAACGTGTACCACCTGAAGCTCGATACGATGGACGTTAACAACTTCTTATTCGAACATATCATATCCAGAGGGCAGACGGTGGGATCGGTGAAGAAGGAAATCCTATTCCAAGCGAAAAAACAGCACATGCTTGACATACCTTATCATAAATGTCGGTTGAGGGAGAAAAGTTGGAAGAAACCGAAGCGTGTCTATCTGGATGATCAGAAATTTGATAAGGATATTATCGTTGTTTCGCCCAATGTCGATGTGTACCTACAAGAATTGCCCGATGCGGAGCCGGTGACGACGCGGGAGCAATACATTTTTTTCGTCAGGCAGTGGTGTCCGTCGACGTTAACCCTTAAGCCTTTCCAAGAGGTAAGAATGAATAATTAGTGAATAACTAATGAATAGTTAAAGAAATAATTAATGAATAAATAATAATTAGGAATAATTCATGAATAATTAACACTCAACGCTTATATGAAATTTTATGTGCACAAGTATATACTCTGGCCTAGTAGTGTATGTCAAAAAAATTTATATTTTTCCTATGGTGTGCAAAAATGGCTGTAAAAAGAAATTATAGCGATATATTATACTGTGTGTCAGAGAAAACGGGCCACCTAAAAAATTTACGAAATAATTCATCTTTTTAAATATATCTTATTTTTATAACAATAAATCTATTGTGTATTAAGTCAGTAATTGTTTTACCATGTTATCCGATGTTACCATAAGTCACAAACGAAAAGAAAGCAAAAAAAATGAGAAATAAATTTATTGAAAAATTACAGTTACAGTTTACTTTGCAATAATAAATTTAAAGAGACAATAAATGGTGAGGATCACTTTTCAATACGGCGTATTGCCACCCCGATTCTGGATGAGACTCCTCATTCGATTTGGCATAGAAATCAGCAAGGTCTGAATGTTTGCTTGAGGAAAAGTGGCCCATTCTTAAATAAGGTCCAACCGAAGCTCTTCGCGTGTTGTTGGAACAAGTATGCGACGTCTTATACGCCTTTTGAGCTGGTCCCAAACATACTTAATAGGATTAAGATTTGGGCTTGGAAGAGGTCAATCGATTTTGGGACTACCAACCTCTTTAAGGTATTGTGTTACCATCCTTGCTGTGTGTGGTCGCGTGTTATCCTGCATTAGCAGCAAATAATTGCCAACAAATCCAGCATATGACATTACATGCTCTTCTAGGATCTCTGTTATGTATCGTCGTGATGTTAATGCGCCTCTAGCAATAATGATAAGATCTATGTGTGCCTCAAAAGAAATTCCTGCCCAAAACATTACTGAGCCACCCCCAAAAGCAACTCGAGGTGACAGGCAGCATAACGTTCTCCAGCTCTTCTGTAAACCTTATTTCGGCCATCTTTTCCATTCTGCACTCATCCGTGAACAGTACATTTTTCCAATCGTCCACTGTCCAATTCATATATTCGCGAGCAAAAGGAAGTCTGTGTATTTTGTGTGCTGCAGTAAGCAAGGGTCCTGTAGCTGGACTGCAAGCTATCAAACCACTTTCTCTTAACCTTCGCCGAACAGTAGAAGTACTGACTGCTGTTCCATGAGCTTTCTGAAGACTGCTTTGGGGCATTCTAGCAGTTTGGATTCGGTCTCGTAAAGCAGCAATGGTGAGTAAAGCGATCTTCCCTGGCTGTTGTTTTATTTTTAGCACCTGTTCCGGGTCGCCGGTGATAAGAGCCGGTCGCAAGAAACCGTTGGTGAGTTCTTTGCATAGTCGAACGACCGACATTTAATTGTCTCGCCACATCCCGTTGACTTGCTTCCATTTTCCAATAATGTTACAATCTGAATAGCTGTTTGATATTTTTCATTCATTATAAAGGATTACACTTTCCTCTACGAAGACCAGTGTAGTACAAAAATACTTTTAATACTCTTTAGAACACAATACAAGTTCATAAAGTTCTCAAAACAGTCACTTTCATGAAACTTAATTGACGGACAAAAAAAAGTAATCTGATAAATTGTTTTGGTTTACTCGGTTCCGAAAATTTGTTTGATCTTTACAAGGTTGGCATGACTTCGCAAGTACACAAACTAACCCGTTTTATGTAAAAGTAACTTAACAAGCTAGATAATTTCGTACATTTTTTGGTTGGGCCGTTTTCTCTGACGCGCCGTATAGTAAGCAACTAAAAATTATTATGCAAATACTCTAAAAGCCATTAAACAATTATTTTTTAGAAAAATAAAAACTATTAACTAAATAAAAACATCTAACGTAGTACATTGAATACAAAAAAGTCGAAAAAACAAAATTGGTACAAGAAGACTATTTTTATTTACTAATAATTATGCTCAGTCTGGGACAAGCAAATTGTCAGAAACGCCTTGGTGTTGAGAGTATTAATGAGTAATGAATAACTAACGAATAATTAATTAGTAATAAATAGTTAATGAAATATGAACGAATAAATAATGAAAAGTTCATGAATAATTATTGAAAATTTCATGAATAATGAATGAGTAATTAATGAATAATGAATGAGTAAATAATGAATGAATAATTAATGAGTAAATAAAGAATAATTAATAAATCATTGATGAATAATTACGGAATAATTGATGAAACATTAATCAACAATTATTATTAAAAAATGAAAAATTCGTGAATAATGAATAATTAATTAATAATTAATGAACAAATTATGAATAGATTATAAATAAATTATGAATATATTACAAATAAAGCATAATTAAATTGTGAATAAATTATTAATAAATATTGAATAGATAATGAATAAATAATGAATCAATAATGAATAAATAATGAATAAATAATGAATAAATAATGAATAAATAATGAATAAATAACGAATAAATTTTTAATTAATTATAAATAAATTATGTATATTTCGAATTAATTATAAATAAATGAAATTATGAATACGTTTAGATTTAGTCACTTGGTACAAACGACCTATTTCTTTTTAGGTCGTATTGGAAAACTTGACGTCGGAAGAACTCAAGAAAAAATTATCAGAGTTGTCCGATATACCGGTGGAACACATGGCCGTAGCGAATATCAAACAACCTCTACCTTGTGATATACACGTACTGGATATGGACACGCACGTCGTGTGGCATTCGGCGCAGGTAACGAATTTGGAAGTGTGGCCTGTCAATGCCGAAAACGGCACAGTTTTCTTCTTTAGGTAAGCTGAACATCGAATGCAAACATGTTTGTATTAATTATTTGTAGTTCCTAACTTTTTTAAATACATGCTCTACTAAAGGTTTGTGCGAGTTTAAAATTTATTTTATGTGAAAAAAAAAAACCTAGAAAATAATCAACATCTGCAAAAAAAATAAAAATAAATATCTACTAGAAATGTTTTGTGTCAGTCTAAAATCTCTTAAAATGATCTGAAAAAGTCGAAAACGCCATTAGAATGTGGTATATTTTTTATAATCGTAGCCAGAATAATGAAATCTGAAAACTTTGACGCTTGAACTTAGTTAGGCAAAATTTTCTCTGCATGGAACAATTTACCTGATAACGCTGTATGCGCACCTGCAGTTAACCCGTTTAAAAACAAGTTTGATTCCTTAGGCTAAGTATGTATATATCTATATAGAGACAATAAATCATAACAAATTAGTAATGTAACTTAACGTAATTTATTGTCTTTATACTTTCATTTTTTTTAATATCAATTTATACTTATAGTTTATAGAAAAAAAGAAAATGTTTATTTTTGACTAAAATTTTTTGAATAAGGATTTGGGTCCTTAGCTCATGTCAGTGAATAATAATAATAATAATAATAATAATACATTATAGTACAATTTCGGGAGAAAACAGTTTTCCTGATTAATATTCAAAGTAGTTTTTTTCACAATGATTTCCAGCAAAAACATACCAGCATTTCAGGAATGGTTCACCCCTCGTTTTTGATCCACCACCTGCTGCGTTTATATTTCGAAGCAAAAAATTTATTTTGAAGTGATCTCAGTGATGATTTCGGCCATGCTTCTCCGTGATGATTTCGGGATTTCTGTAATAATTTCGGACATTTATAGAGAATTTGTAGCGTTTTTGAGTGAAAACTTACACCAGTATTTAGAGATTGGTTCACCCCTCGTATTTTTCTTCTTAATTCATATTTAAAATTGTCAACAATCATTAGTTTTTTGTTTTTTATTTTCAGTGATACGCGAGAAGAATTGAAAAAACTAACCAGCGAGGAGCGCAAAGAGTTGACCCAGAAGGAGAACACTCGCCTGCGCAGGCTGAACTTGTCGTCGTACTCTCCGGGAGGAGAGCGAGCCTTAAAGATCTACCTGGACACGTCTCCGAGTAAATCTGAAGAAACCATAGACTGACATGCCACCCAAAATCGTTTTATTAATCCATTGTTATACTGCAACGTAACTTGAAGAAAAAACAAACCATATTATTAATAATAATTACAACAAACAGCAAATCACAATATCAGACGGTGGTTGTACATAAGCGCGTTTCAGAGTTGATTTTTTTATTATTTATTTTTTTTTGCAATTATTGCTATACTGGATGGACCGATAGGAGCGAGACATTTGTGTTGATCTAGAAATAGATTTTTTTTTCAAAAAGGAAAATTAAATCGTTTTTTTTTATAAAACATAAGATTTGAAAAACTGATAATTTGTTTATAATATAATAATAATAATTATTATAATCAAAATTGCGATTTGTTTGTTATTTACGTTTTATTAATCAAGTGTCTGGAAAAAGCCTAGATTAGGTCATCATCAGTGATAGGGATCAGCTAAATTCTGGTAAGAAATAAAAAAAATTTGATTTTTTAATAACGTGAGGGGTTTCAAAATTTAATTTTTCAATAAAATTCATTTACTCGAAATTTGAAAATATTTTTATTTCAATATGAAGTACGAGAGCGTTAAAAGACATACAAAGTGTTTTTTTTTAATTTTTTTTTTACAAAAACCTCTAATCGCCTAAAGCACTCTACATTGAAATTAATACACTTAATCTAATCTTTATTCCACTGTTCGAAACATTTTTTGTTCTCACCTCATCAAAATGCTTTCCTTTCATGTCCGTTTTCAGAGTTGCAGGAGCCTAGTTCAGTTGAATAGGGGAAGTGAGGTACAACGATCATACTTTTTTTGGTCAAACAACGCCGCACAGAGAGTGCTGTATGAGCGGGAACGTTGTCATGGTGGAAAAATCAGTTTCTGACAGCCACAAATCAGGATTTTTCTGCCTTAAACCTTTGAGCAATCTTTTTAAGTCTTCCATGACGATTTCGTGAATTTTTGAAATATTATCGTTAGTTTGGATCATTAAAAGACGTCCAGAGCGAGATTGATCATCAGTTGACATTTATCCACTTTTAAAATTGGAAAACTACTTAAACACTTCAAGTTTTCTCCGTTCTTGTAGATTGTAGGCCGTTTTTAAAATTGCTAACGGTTTTGTGCCAATTTTTTTGAGCACGAACCAAAACTTCAGGGCCGCGTGCTGTGAACACACAAGCCGAAATGACAATTGACATAATGTCTGGTAAAAGGTCCTTAACTGTAAAACATGCAATTTGTCAACCAAAAATTACACACACTGCATAAAAAGTATCGCATAAGTGGATTTTGACAAAAAGTTTTTATTATCTTGTAAAACTTTTTGAAATTGGCAGGTAATGATACTTTAACAGTAATTTCTTTGATTTAAGTATCAATGTATAACAGGCAAAAATAATAAAAAAAATACGAAGTAAAATAAAAAATTCCAAGGATAATTTTAGTATCTGGTATTGGCATCTCTTGCTCTAATGACATCTCTCATTTTCCGTGCAAGATTTCTGACGTACTTATGTTCTCCAAATCTAATTTTTTCCCATTCTTCTCTTCAAGCATTTTCCAGCTCATCAATGTTGTCTGGAGCGATATTGCGAGCTCTATTGGATTTAGATATGGGCTAACTGCTGGCCAGTCTAAAACTTGTATACCAACCTCTTGAAGGTATTCTATTGTTATTTTGACAATCTGGGGGCGAGTGTTGTCTTGCATAAGAACAAATTTCATCCCAATAATTGGAACAAACAGCACTACATTTTTCTCAAGAATGTCTTTTATATACCGATCAGCTGTTAGGGATTCCCTACGAAACACTTAACTCTGTGTGACCTTCAAAACAGATGTCTCCTATCATACTCGAGCCACCACTAAAATTTCTAGCTGCTCTCATGTTACACAGAGCAAATTGCTCACCAGTGCGTCTGTAAACTAGAATACGTCTATTGGATTCAAAAAGTGAAAATCTTGACTTTTTTGTAAAGAGAATATCAGTCTTGTCATTAATATCACAATTAACATGTTCTATTACGAACCTTAAGGTGACACACTAGTTAACAAAGGCGCACTAACAGGCATTCTGGTTTTGATTCCATATTCACTTTTTGTTTAACCGAATTGACATATGAAGGGCACAGGAAAAAAGTCACATTTTTGTCAAAATTGTTACCGCCATCTATTGTACAATAAATGTATTTTCCATGTAATAAGCAAATTAGCAAATAAAGAGCTAAGAAGCGCTTAAAAGCTCATTTAAAAACGGGATACAATTCGAAAATTAGTCTCTGGACTTAGCCTTTCTCCTTTGATTTAAAAGTTTACTTTAGAGAAGCTTGATATTTTAACATAGTTACTGCCTATGTTTATATATCTTTGAGGCCATAATTTAGAATGAAGTAATAAAACCCTTTTCTAAGCCTAATTACAGATGACACAAAATTAAAGTTCTATATTTGTTTAAATAAGCGGCGTGGATCGACTGCCAAATTAATAATTTTGAACTAAATGACCTTATTTTGTATTATAATAATGTACCCAGTAGCGTAACCAGAAAATTTATGAGAGTTGCTTTCGGTTTTTAAATTAAGAATCGGTACATATAGGTACTTATTATTTTTTTATGAGATTCAGTTATTTTAATTTCCGTAAGTGTTTTTTAATTACATTTTCTATTCAAGTGGAGTGGTTTCGACCCTCAAAACCCCCTGTGGCTAAGTCCAAGAATTTAGCACAATTTTTCTACTGTGTGTTTGTCACTTTCAGTATTAAGATTAAAAATTAATAATTGTCTAATAAATTAAGTAATAAGCTAAAATATCAGACAGCATATACAAAGTAACATCTTTTTGTAATCAATTACCTCAAAGTATCAAAAGTTTGTATTCAAACTTTCAATTTGCTTTCCAGAACATTTTTGTAATTGTGACTCAGCGTCTTTTTCCCTGCACCCTTCATATATTCGAACATTATCGACTCTGGAGAGAACATTTTGCAGTTGCCTGTCTGTAACATGTACATGCACGCTAAGTCTGCAGGATTGGTGCGCTTGGGACTTCCTGAAATCGGCCTTCTATTGTGGCCTCCAGTTTCTCTAAACCTTCTTAAAACTCTAGAAACGCTGGATTGGTTGATTCAAACAACTTCAGCAACATATTGCTGCAATCGTCCATCTCCAAGTAACGCCACAATTTGAGCTTCTTGTTCTGGTGTTTAATGACTCATTTTTTAGTGTCCGAATACTCTAATACACCTCCTTGCTGGAAAAGGAAACAAACGTACTGCACACAAGATATTTTGTTATCATTATTTTTTATTGGTAAAAGAAATTGCGTTCTAGATTAGTAATCAATATTGTTCGTTTTCGTGAAATAAATCATTATTTAGAGAAAAAGAAAAACCAACACTTTATTAGTTTTAATTTCATTCTAGTCCTGATGATGAACTGTCGGCACCAAAACTACTCGCGAATTATTCAAAATTATATATATTTTTTAATTATCTTCTATTCTTTTAAGTATCAGAAAATAAAATATAAATAATATAGTACTTATCTTTTTTTAATTTTTTAAGCATTTAAATAGTTTAGAAACCCACACAAATGGGACCTAAATGAATACAATTTGAGAATTTATTTATCACAATTTTTTGTTTTAATAAAATTTTAACAATACTTTCATCTTTTGTTTATTTCTAAGTATATGTATAAAAAAATATTATTTTTTATGTAGCTTGTTCCTAAATGCCTTGTCTATATTTAAGGAAGTAATTAATGAATAAACGTTCATTTAAAAATATGCTTCAATTTGTATTTTTTCAGTTTTTATTAATTATTGAACAAATCATTCGAATCAGGTTTAAATTATTCTCGAGTTGCTACAAACCTATCAAAATCTTTAAATGCGTTTGAGATATTAATGAAAACTGATTAAAAAAATAACACCCTGTATCCTCAAAAAATAATATGGCAAATTTTTACATGAAATTTTAGTCATAAAATATACCCAATGAATTACCTCCTTCAATAATGATATGACATTAAAAACGACTGCATACAAAAAACTTTTCCTTTTTGAAAAAAAAAAAACCTGATGAAACTGTTAAAACTTTTTACCCGAAAAAAGGCAGAAATCCCTCAAAAAAATCCTTAAAAAAATTGAAAAATTTCGAAACCTGTTTTTGTTGGTTTAAAGTATCTATTTTGTTTTTTTGACTATACCCAAGCTGAAAGTCAGTGTCTAATTATATTTTTTTGAGATTTTAACATTGGCTGGATGTTTTTTTTTGTGAAATAAAGTGATGAAAGAAAAGTTTTTTTATTTTTATCTTATATGTGCAGAAGTTCAAATGTTCCGCTTTCGGTGGTGTAAAAATAACCTAAAGGTAACTACTCAAATCTTTAAAATTATTTATGTCCAAAGCTCAAAGTTTATAATAGTCTAAGAGCAGGCATTTTCTGTCATTTTGATTAAACATACCATAAAAGATGAGACAAAAACCAATAAATCGTAATCCTGATCCATTTGAAAGTACATCATGTAAGCAGCTAAAAACAAAAAAAATAGGTTTTGAGTTATTTTGGGAAAAGTTAAAAGGTTTGAGGAAATTATTTTTGTTTTTTCGGCGACTGTAGCTTTCTTTAGTATTTTTTTCATTTAATTTAGTTTTATCTAATGGTTAAATAATACATGTTTGTTTTATATTAAGTAATAGATCTAGACCCAACGTGTGGATTTGTGACTTATTTTTTTTATGGCTGAATGTATCGTTAACATGAACTATAATGCGTTTTCAACGAATTCATCAAAGCGGGACTTCAGCAATAGGCCTTACAAGAGGTACGTGTTTTCCGAAAACGACCTTTTTTTTATTAAATTTTATTGAAAGGTATTTAAAATTTAATATATTGTAACGTTTTTAACTGTACAAATTTGGCACCATGTGCCTATCAATGAATAATTTCAAATGACAAGCTGCAGAACAGTTTTACAATAATTATGGGCGTTATGTTATAAAAAATAGTTTTTGAGCAATTAACTATTTAATTAGATTCATTGGCATTTTTAGTGAAAAATGTATTTAAAATGCGTTTTTGTGAGTTAGTAAGAGTGATTATGAACTAATTAGACGCACAAGACCAGATCAAGGCAAGACACATATGAACTTAATTCTTCATCAACAAAAAATAGAATTAAAAATGTTACATAACCCCTTCATCGACTTATCCCTTCAATTTTTTGAATTCTTGAATATTCGTTGGTCATTAATTCAGTTAAAAGCAATCCACCTTTCCCGTTATTCAACAATTTCGGATTACTCATGCGCGAAAAAAATGCGGGCCTTTTGAATCTAGTAATTTTCTAAACATATTTTTATCCTCGCTTTACAACTGTTGGGTTGGCTATATGAAGGTTGGCTACGACGATTACTCCCTGTCGTTACTTTTTAAACATACCCTGTAGAATAAGGAAATACTTTGCTGCAGACTTAGAATATGTTCTAAGGCTGCAGACACACTAACGATAGAGCGCTCGATGACAACGTTTTGAAAATGACGATGTAGAAAGTGGCGTACCCACGGGGGGATGATAATAGTGATATATCCTCCCCAGGAAGTCTCAGCGCGTCCGCAAACTCAAACACAACATCAAAGTGATAAGTGATCATAAGAAAAAATAAAAGTAAGAGACCTCTAAATCGCTTTGTAATAATTACTAAATCAAATACGAGGGTGAATCAATAAGTTGCTGAGGGAAGTTGGCATTACCTTAGATTAGGTAATCTTTCCTTGTCTAAGGGCATTACTGTCGTGTACTGTCATCTGTCACACGACACCATACTAAATTTCAAACTGATTCATAGGCAGCCACTTGGACCATACGTGTTTCGCATTAATCGATAAAATGGAAAAAGAACAATATCGATCCGTAATTCGCTTTTTATTTTTGGATGGAAAAACATGCGATGAAATAAAAGCAAAGTTGGATGCTGTCTATGGGAACCCTTCACCATCTATGACAACCGTAAGATATTGGTTCAACGAATTTAAACGTGGTCGTACATCTGTTTTTCATGAGGAACGACCAGGTCGCCTGGCAGTCGTTACCGAGGAAATCGTTGAAAAGGTCCAAGACATGATTGTCGCAAATCGCCGAACGAAAGTGCGAAAAGTGGCAGAGGCCGTAGGCGTATCATACGGAACGGCAATTAATATTTTGCATGATAAGTTAAACATGAGAAAGGTATCGGCCCGATGGGTGCCACGATTGCTTACGGTGGACAACAAGCGGATACGGGTGTCAATGTCGAAGCAGTGTTTGGAGCTCTTTAATCGAAATTTGCAGGAGTTTTTGCGTCGAGTCGTCACCGTTGATGAAACCTGGATACCTTATTATACGCCAGAGACCAAACGACAGTCGAAGGCAATGGATTTTTCGGGGTGAATCTGCTCCGAAGAAAGCATAGATGATCCCATCGGCCGGTAAGATCATGGCCACGATTTTTTGGGAATAATCCTCATCGACTTTTTGCAGAAAGGAAGTACGATCACAGGGCAGTACTTTTTAGTAAAT